CATTTCAGAATTAAAGATGAAACATGCAGAGTCCAACAAATGGACCACAAAATCCTCCTGCTCAGATCCACGGTCACATCCACCCAGACAGAACACTAATCAAGTGCCAATAAAAATAGAAATGACTGCCTTTGTGCCACAACTCATCTTAAGAGCCAAGAAACACCCATCAGCAGGAAAATGACCTAACTACTGTTAGCATTATCCAAGCAGGACACAAAGACGGCTCCATTATTGCAGTGAGCCATTTGATAATGCAAAAGACCGGGTCCTTAACAAAGAAAGCACTGTGCCCACTAACTGCCTAAGCTAGCAATTTCAAAAGCGCTCCAACTCGGGAACGCATCACCTGGTAATTGGTTTAAACATACCAGCCAGTTAGACACATCTATTGCACAGCTCTAGGCAGAAAGGCCCAGGCACCAGTGATAGAAACCTGTGCCTGGCCGTTCTAACGTACAGTCAACTTTACTAACACTACAGTAGCTCAGTCTCGACTGTTTTGACCCAAACTTCTGAGCTGTTGTCTACTTTATGCTACCGTAACAGGATGCCTGAGACTGGACCATTTATAAAGAAAAGCATTTACTGTCTACAAATCTAGAGGCTGGGGAGTTCAGACAGCAAAGGGCTGCATGCACTCATGACCTTCACACAGTTGAAGGAGGGAGGGCAAGCGCTCAATCACCCAGCAGTCAACACTTTCACAATCAGCATGAGTCTACTTGTGAGGATGGGCTCTCATGACCCAAACAACTCCAGCTAAGCCCCGCCTAATACTGCTACACGGCATGAACTTTTGGGGAGGACACATATGGAGCGATAGCAGATTCTTAACCTCTAATGACTGGAGATGTCCCATCAATTCCAAGGACTGTCTTAGGGGATTCTCTAAGACACAGAATAGAGAATGAATGTTTATATTATAAAAGGGCTTAGTAGATTGGCTTACATCATAGTCTGGCTGTCTCACAGTGGAAAGACCAAAAACCTGGTTGTTCAGATCATTAAGAAGGATGTTAGCAGTCTCAGCCAGACATTGGAGGCCTGGAGGATTCCTGGAGACCTCTGGTCTTCAGTCTACACTGGATGGCCCAAAATGCTGCAGCCACACAATGGATGAACTTGCCGGAAGTGAAGGCAGGCAACCAAAAGCAGTTTCCTTCTTCCACGTCCTTTGATATGGGTCCTCCCACTTCCAAGACTCTGACCAAGAATGTCCTTCATAGGAATGCCTAGAAGTTTGTGCTGTAGTCAACTCCACACAACCTAGTTGGCAACCAAGACTAGCCCTCACAAAGACCCTTACAGCTTCTGAGGTTCACTTAACCCAGTGAGGATGGAGTGTCATCATGAATGTGTTATCCCACAATGCTGCCCACTGGGAGCATATGATCTTACATGTTTTGCTCCATGGCAGATTTAGATTTAAATCATCCTGTAAGGCATGAACTACATACTTCCCAGTGACTGTCGTTTCTCAGCTACAACAAACCAGGTCAAACACCACCTCACACCCAGCACGCCAACACTTCTAAATTAATGAGTGCTGGATTGAAACTGCTCATAAATGAAAGCAGGTATTGAGAAAATTTGTAATTCCTCAGATACCAAGAGCAGCATTCATCTCAAGACTAATTCCTACAGTACTAACACCATAATTGTTGGCATTGCTGCACTGGTTTCCAAAAGCCTTCACTTCCCTGCGTTTGTTGTATCAAATATGCCAATCACAGGTGACCGCCTGTCATTTCCCATCAAGAAAACTTCAACTTCCAAAGCATCTTACTTCCTCCCAACACCCCCTTTCCCTGCTAAGTTTTCCCCTTGAGTGAGTAGACTTACACTGAGCACCAGCCACACAACCAGACATGCTGTTTAGGACAGAGCTCAAAGCCACTGCCACAAGTTACCAGACCAAAGTACTTTTTCTCAGGGGCCTGGCGAGAGAGCTCAGTGCTGAGCGCACTGGCTGCTCATCCAGAGGACCCAGGGATCCGATGCCCTCTTCTGCCCGCTGTGGGTACTGCACTCATGTGGTATACAGATATACATGCAGGCAAAACACCCATACACACAAAATCTTTAAACAAAAATTTTTAAAGTTTTCATATAAAACCATTTTACATTTTTTGAAATATTTATGTGAAATGTTTTTCACTGCACTCACTTCAGTTCCTCTGTGTAGTCAATTTCCCCACACTGACTACTCACAAGGCAAAGTGGTGGGCTCTCAAGTTAGCAAGGTAGAAAGCTTGGTGCCTGACACTACCATTTTTGAAACACACTCATATTAAAACAAAAGCAATAGTATGTAGTGAAAAAAAGCTTCCCCCTTGCTGGTCACTGTCCTTATTCACGCTGATAATACCAATTACAGACAGGCCCCACTTCATCAATAAGAACACAAAGGCGGGGCTGCACAGATGTCTTAGCAGTTAAAAGCACTTTCTGTTCTTGCGCAGAACAGTTTCAATTCCCAGCACCCACATGGCAGTTCACCAGTCTCGTTCCAGTTCCAGGGGATCCAGCACCCTCTTAGGGCCTCTGCAGACACCAGGCAAATTCGTGGTGCACACACATAGGTATAAAATAAATGTTTCTTAAAAAACGGAGCACAAAAACAAAGCACATTTGGGGTAGTTTCTAGTGAACACTTTTTAAAAGATTTATTTATATATTCAGTGTCCTGCCTGCATGTCTGCCTGAGGGCCAAAAGAGGGCACCAGATCTCATTACAGATGGTTGTGAACTCAAAGACCTCTGGAAGAGCAGCCAGTGTTCTTAACCTCTGAGCGGTCTCTACAGCCCCCTCTAGTGAGCATCTCTGGATTACTTGAGTGTTCGCTCTTTCTTAAGCTTATGTCTCCAATCTCTAGAAGCCTTGAATTGATGTCATTAATCTTATTAATCAAGAGTAAAAGGAAAAAAACAAACATAAGGTCTCCCAACACTGTCCAGAGAGACAAGACAGGTATACATTTTCACTACCTAATAATGAAAGATTGGGGGCTGGCAAGGCAGCTTACTGGGTAAAGGTTCTTACCAACAAGACTGGGGATCCTCTAACCTCCACACCTGACAAGACACACTCACCCAACTCAGACACACAAAAACAGGAAGGTGTTAGGCAAGGCACACACCTTTAATCCCAGAACTCAGGAAGCAGAAGCAGGTAGAACGCTGTGAGTTCCTGGCCAGCCAAGCGGGTCTAGACAGAAAGTTCCAGTACAGCCAAGGATACATTAATGAGACTCTGTCTCAAAACACCAAGAAAAGATTAGCCATTATTTTGAAACAATATAATCCTAAAAAAATTATAACTTATTCTAAACGTGGTCCTATAAAATTCAACATACAATTAAGAATGATAATAAAGAATAAAAAATAAATTCAACATACAAGTTTAATATTAACAGTCATAATGTAAAAACTACCAAGAAGTATGAATCACATATTTCCCTTTAATTATACCTCCTACTTTATAATGTGTGTAGGTGCAGACACATTGTACTTTTGCTTAGGACCTTTAAATAGGAAATGTGGGACAGCCAGTCCTGTAACTCACCGAGGGAACACAGTAGAGCTGACCCAGTTGGGGGTGCAGGCCCTGAGGGTGTGAGCAGGAGCTGACCCCGCCCGGCCCGCTAGTCTACCATGTGTTGCCATGGGTGAGGGAAAGTACCCCCCACCTCACCCCTTGCCTCCTGAAGCAGGTGGGAGAGCTGGACCTGGGGTCCCAAGAGTGGGAGAGCCAGCACTGCTCCTCACTGTCTGAGCGCAGGAGAGTGGACCATGCACTTTGCCTGGGCAGCACTGACAGCGGACCAGTCGGAGGGTGGCGTGCAGAGGTGACCCTGCCTCCCCCATGTGCCATGTGGTGGCATGGGTGAGGGAAAGATGCCCTCCTCCACCCCTTGCCACCTGCAGTTGGGGGAGCAGCAGGGGCAAGAGCTGGTCCTGCACCTCACCAACTGCAGGGCTCGCTCTCCCCATAGCCTGGACAAAACAACAGAGCCGGCCCCGCGGGCTTGAGCAGAACTAGCCTGGTCAAGTCTGAAAACTCACCCTAGTGGTGTCAGTGAGGGAAATGGCGGGCTGACCAACACACCTGCCACCCAGGCCCAGAACCAGGGTTGAGTCAGGCCGCCACAACATCCACTTCATCTATAATCTGCAGGAGCAGGCAAAGGGGCCAGATCTGCACATCCAGAGCTGCGGGTTCTCCATGACACAGGGCAACAACAGGGTATCCAAGAGGAGTCCCAGTGAGGACCCGGTACTGAGAGTGTAGCAAAAGCCAGAGGCCTTGAACCAGACCAATGACTCCCTGCAACGAACGCTCACAAGTCAGATTGCCTAAAGGGTGTACTGTGATTCACTGTGCCACACCACAGCCTCCACAGAGACCTTCTTTCTTTTTTATGTTAGTGGGGTTTTTGTTTTATTTTCTTTTATTTTGGGAGGGAGGTTACAAGGGCAGAGGGGGGATATGAAGGGACAAGATGAGTAGGATATGTATGCATGATGTAAAATCTACAAAGAATCAATTTTTTAAAAAAGTAAAAAAAAAGTAGGTATTTACTTTGTAAATGGTTTTATTTATGTACAAATAATAGGCAACATTCTATCCATAAATTCTGTTTTCCAAAAACAAAGAGTTCTGTTTTGTTTTGTTTTTAAAGAAAATAAATGCTGGGTGTGATGGCGCACACCTTTAATCCCTGCACTCAGGAGACAGAGGCAGGTAATCTCTGTTAGTTCCAGGTAGCCTGGTCTACAGAGTGAGTTCCAGGACAACCAGAGCTACATAATAGAGAGACACTGTCTCAAAAGTCAAAAAAAAAAAAAAAAAAAAAAAAAAGAAAACCGCATAAAAAAATTTAAAAGGCACGAAAATTCTTCTACTTTAGACCACGGCTGGTCTGGAGAGAATGGGAGGAAGGGGGTTGGTGGGCCAGAAGACACAACTTGAAACTGAGCATTCTCCAAAGCAGTAATAAGGTACCATCTAGGCAAAGTTTATTCAACCCGCCTCACCCCCCAACATCCACAAGCTGCCTATTAGAATGGCTGAAGCAGGACAAACAGCCCAGAACAATTCAGCTGCATTGTAACATTGTATGTAGTCAGTATGCAACTCTAAGGAGAACAGACTAAACCACAACAAAAGAGACTGAGGTTGTCATGAGAATGGTTAGTTCTGTTATGACCTGTTTCAATAACTCTAATAAACAGGAAAATATTACATCACTACAAATTTCACACTAAAGCCAGACGTTGGTGGCACACGCCTTTAATCCCAGCACTCAGGAGGCAGAGGCAGGCAGATCTCTGTGAGTTGGAGACCAAGCCTGGTCTACCAAGCGAGTTCCAGGACAGGCTCCAAAACAATTCAGAGAAACCCTGTCTCGAACAACCAAAAACAAAACAAAACAAAACAAAAAAACAAATTTCACACTAGCAAGACAGTCAGTACAGTAATGTTGCCTGGTGCCATTAAGCAATGGCTCAACCATGTTATGCCCAGAGTTCATGCCTTCATCTACCCGCAAACTTTCATGTTTTCTGAGCATAACACAGTGAAGTAGAACACTGACAGAGCTGAGCTCTAACTCCCACGATGGATGCTTTAAGGTAAGAGGGAAGCAAGTGCATCCCCTTTGTCTGAGGGACCTTATGTAACCAATGAATAACTCAGGGACCAACAGTCTCCACTGGTTTCCAGCGTGCACAGGGCTGGTTGCAGGCGGCACCATTAGGAAGCATCCTCCATGTCCACATCCTCCTGTAACTGCTGTACCATTTTTTCCTCCAGTTGCTTCCCTTTGCCTTTAAAAGATACAGTAGATACAATGTAAATACAGTACTCGTGTATGAGAATCACCAAAAATAAACTCAAATTTAAACATAAGGCAACTGTAAAACATAGGAACTTAAGTGTGACCCTGCAATTTATTCCTGCAGTCTACAAAGCATCCTGACTGCCCTACAATAGTAGCCATTTCTAAGGATTTGAGAATACTAGTCAAAAATCACAAAAGAAGTCTTACAAATGCACAAGGCACTCTATGAACGCCTCATCTGGAACTTCTGCAAACCTTATTGAACCATGAGAAACCACAGACAGATGCACGTGCTCCACATCACTTGACTGGTGAGTAAGCCCAGAACCCAAAGCTGGGCTGTGACTTCAGATACCTAGATGTAGGCTCTGACATTGGCCACAGAAAAACCTATTCTACCATTCTGAGCAAAATATGAAGCAAACTTTTATTAAATATTCAGTGCTGGCCAGGTAGATGGGCTCTGGCCAAGTCCACTCCCTGGAATTCCAGGTGAGTGGCCCTGAGGCATATTTTGTAGGTGCTTATAAGGACAAACCCATATAGCCAGTTTTTTCCCCCATGGGACATTGTAACTTTCTAAAAACTACAACTCCCAGAATTTCAGGGAGCTACAGGGTCCTTGGATAGGTGGGGCTTATAGGTTAACATCTGGTCTTAAAAAACGCCTTTAGAAAGCTAGCTGGGGCCCAACTACACCAACCACAAAATCGATGTCTGACTCTCTGCTCACCTGCAAGAGGAGCCCGGATAAGGTGGATGTTCTGCTTGACTTCTTTGATGTCCTGAACCTTCTGCAGCTCTTTGTTTTTCTTCAGCCTGTGACAAAATGCATCAAAGCCAAGCTTCAGTGACTGAAACTTCTGAGACTTTAATTCCCACCACAGCCACCGCATTCACTAATGACGCTGTCTGTCTCACAGGGCACAGGTGGAATGCAAAGGGGTGGTCAACCTTCTGTTCCATCCTGTTCTCCTGCCTCTCACCCAACAACAGCTGCTGTGAGTCAACAAGAATAAAATGGTTCCCAAACATGTTTATCCACAAATCAAGGCAAAGTCACCTGATGAGCCCTTACTGACAGGCATTCTCCTCCCTGGTAACTCTGTCAAAACGTCAAAATGGTCAAGTTTCTGATTAAACAGGATTTCTACCCAAGCAACCTGTTCATCCACGGCACCCACTGCACCCAGGGTGGTGCAAGTGGGGACTCAAGGTGTACCCACTGACAGAATGGGGGTCTGACTGAGGGCTCGGCACATCTCAGAGCTCATTTCCATGGCACAGACACAAAGCTCTATGGCACAAAGCAGCCTCCCAATTGCCAGTGTGTGTGAGCCTCCTCCTCACAGAGCAGTCTCCATGTTGTGTAGCTTTGTTAATTATTCAGCAATTACAGGAGCATAAAACACTTAAGACACCAGAAATGCTAACAGAGCTGTTCTCAAACGTCCATGCTCACCTTCTGAAATGCCAGAAAGTTGCCACAGCAGGCTTCCTTACTAAGACTTCCACCATGGCTAGATTTAAGACTAATTTTTGACAGTGGCATGGGTAGAGGCACTTGCTGCCAAGCCTAAGTACTCAATCCTTTGGATCTACATAGTGTAAAGAGTGAGCCAACTCCTGCAAGGTATCCTCTGAGCTCCACATACACACCACGGCACATTCACACACACAGAGAACAATTAAAAAAAAATTAGGCTAGTTGGGGAGGGACACTCCTTTAATCACAGCACTCAGGAGAGGCAGGAGAATCTCTGAGTTTCAGGACATCAAGAGTGACACAATATGACCCCGTCTCAAGGAAAAAAAAGAAAGAAAAAAGAAAAAACTTAGAAGCTAGAGACGGCTCAGTGATTAAGAGCACTGGTTGCTCTTGCAGAGGACCCAGGTTCAGTTCCCAGCACCCACGTGGTGGCTCACAACTGTCTCTAACTCCAGTTCCATCTCTGATGTCCTTTTCTGACCTCTTCAGGCAGTGCACAGGCACACACATGAGGCAAAACACTCATATACAAAATAAAAGCAAACATTCTTTTAAAAATTAGTAACAGCCGGGCGGTGGTGGCGCACACCTTTAATCCCAGCACTAGGGAGGCAGAGGCAGGCGGATCTCTGTGAGTGATCTCTGTGAGCTCGAGGCTGGGCTGGACCGATAGCCTCCAAAACAATACAGAGAAACTCTGTCTCGAAAAACAAAACAAAAAATAAAATTAGTAACAAAAAGTGAATTTTCCTGCTCTAAATACATTAATCCCTGGGCAGAGCAGGGAAAGCATGTGAACTCTGAAGTTCTTATTACGCATGAAACAACAAAGAATTAAAAAATGAAGATGACTTGTCAACCTGAGGAACCCCCACTGGTCCAGCATGGGCCATACAGAACATCAAAATAAACACAGTATTATGTCAGGTGTTGGTGGTGCACGCCTTTAGATCCCAGCATTCCGGAGGCAGAGGCAGAGGCAGAGGCAGAGGCAGGTGGATCTCTTGTGAGTTCGAGGCAGCCTGGTCTACAAAGTGAGTTGTAGGGCAGGTTCCATAGCCACTGAGAAACCCTGGGGTGTATGACAGGACAGGACAGGACAGGACAGGGGACAAGACCAAACTCAGCAATATGAATCACAGCCTACCAAACACCACAGGAGTTCACAAACACAGGTCCATGCTTATATGAGGAAAGGGGATCCTGAAGGAGTAGAAAAGGGAAAGCCATGACTAAGGCCAGGCTCTCCTATGGAGGCTAAAAACAAGAACAAGACTGAGGAGTGACAGGCTCTTTCCAGAATCTGTTCCATACCAACTACCAAGAAAAGAACGACTCTTTGTTAGGGAGAGACACAGAGACACCACTGTAACCAAAGAAACAAATTAACAGTGACAGTACACATGAGCAAGGACACTGTGATGACTGTGACATTCCTTCCAAGGGGGCCTAACCAAAATCTAACCCTGAAGAAAGGCAGACAAACCCAAATGAAGAAACATTCTACCCAACAGCCTGACCAGGAAGACAAGGGAGATGGGAACCTGGCCGTGTGAAAGGAGCTACGAGCTATGTGGGAAGTGGGAGCAGGCTCTGCTGGGCACACGGCGGTCCTGCAGCGTCACCACGTCCTGGTCTGAAACCGCAGTGTGTTTAAGTAAGGAAAGAATCTTACATGGGACGGATAACCTGAGGCACAAAAAGCAGGAGCACACATGTCTGCAGCTCACTGTACTCGCAAAAAAAGTGAGTGTAAAATGTGTCACAGTACTCTTCCCAGCTTCTTTAAAGCATGAAATTATATCAAAATAAAAAGGCTTAAAACACAAATGCCTCTAGAAATCTTGTAATTATTCCTCTAAAAGTACACATACCTGTTCATTATAAACTTAGCCTGGCGTTTCTGTTTGATCTCTTCAACCCTCTTCATTGCATCAACTACAAAAAAAAAAGTCAGCAAATTTACACACATTCAAGAAGCAGTAGGATTGTAACCATTAATTACATTAAATACTTCTGCATGACTTTGGCTTAAGTGAAAAAATCCAATACGAAACAACCACTGAGACAGAGCTAACAGTATGAGCTGCTGGCTGTACTCACTACTCAGGCCCATTAACTGCATAAGGCAGTTGAGGAAACAATCTTAGACTCCCATACTGTCTCCACAAAGCACTTCTGAAAAGTCTGTTTTTAGGATTCAATACAAAAGATTGACAGAACCCAGGCAGGGAAGAAAACCACACTGCTTTTTACAGCATTTGCACATGTAGGAATGCGACTACCTGAACCAGTCAGCAAGTAACCGAAACCAGGGAGTTTCCACAAGAGGGCAGGGACTGTGTATTAGCTGCAAGCCGAAGGCTGCATAAAAGCGACATGGGATGGAGAGAAGGCAGGAGAGGGCCTGTCACATACAAAAATCCTGCAACCTAAGCCAGGCGGTGGTGGCACACGCCTTTAATCCCAGCACTCAGGAGGCAGAGGCAGGCGGATCTCTGTGAGTTCAAGACCAGCCTGATCTACAAGAGCTAGTTTCAGGACATTCTCAAAGCTACACAGGGAAACCCTGTCTAGAGGGAAAAAAAAAAACTGCAACCTAAAGATCACACAGCACTCAGAAGGCCAAGGCTATGAGTTCAAGGCCAGTCATGGCTTCACAGCAAGACCCTCTAGAAAAGAAGGAACTAAGTTTTACAACACTATCTCCCTTCAATTAAAGTCCCTGCCTACTTCAAGGGGAGGGGGGGGTGACAGAGGCTGAACACTAACTACTGCTTTTAATTTTGGGTCCATAACTTCATATTTACCCAAACAAGCACTAGACACCCCTTAAAATCTATACTGATCTCCTTAAGTGCAACACCTTTTTAATCTTATAGCACCCTGTGATAGGGAATGTGTTCCTGCATGTTGTTGCTCTCACTGGATGATAAATAAAGCTGCTTGGCCTATGGCAAGGCAGGACAGAGACAGGCAGGAAATCAGCAGAGATACAGGGGAAGAAGGGCAGAGTCTGAGATGCCAGCGGCCTCTCAAAGAGCAACATGCCAGACACCTCTGGTAAGCCACAGGCTACACAGTGACACACTGTAATAGAAATGGACTAATTTAAATGTAAGTACTAGCTAGCAATAAGCCTGAGCCATCGGCCAAACACTTAGAATTACTACTGAGTCTCTGAGTGATTATTCAGAAATGGTCAGGACAGAAAAGCCTCTGTTCTGGTTACACCCCAGAAGCAGCCAGTCTAGACTGGCGATGCATTATCAGCCTGTGTATTTCCTAACTGGGTCTCACCTCACCCACCAGAGCATTTCCTTATTATTCTCTCAGAATTTGTGGTTTTTATTTTGGGTAGGCACTTCAAGTTTAATAATTTCATTATTTTTATATGGATACACCAATTTCTGACATATCCAAATTTAGCCAAATTCTAAAAACAATTTGGAATAACTCATAGTTAAAGACATAAACACCACCAGAACCATTAACATGAAATGAAAAAGAGTCAAGCAATGAAGCAAATTTAGTATTCATACAAGCCAGCACTTAAAAGTCCCCAAGACTTACTAGTTTTACTCCATAGCTCTCGCTGGTACTTCACAGGTTCATTTCTACGTTTCTCAAATTCAAATGAGTTGTCCTATAAGATGGTACAGAAGGCTGGTAAGCAATCATTGTTTTAAATATTCTCCTTTTCACAAAAATCCTAAGTGCCAAATATAAGACACCCTCTCTCCTCCTAATACTGAGGAGTACAAGCTGAAAACAGCCCAGGTTCTGAGAAAATGGGAGATTCCCAGAGGGAGAGGAAGAGCATTCCCTCCTTCAGGAGCTACCAAAGAACCATGAGAATTACAAACAAACTGGAAAGGCTTCCCTAATTTCCCACCTCCACATGAGACTCAGACACAAATTCCCACCACATGAACCATTTTTCTTAGATCAAAAGTCAAACACCAAGAATTCACATTTTTTCCACACCTGCAGGGTATAACCTTCGCCCTGTGTGACTCTGGGCGAAATACCAAATGGAGGTATTTCGATAGTTAATAAGCATTCATCTCAAGACAGTTTGAAAAAGCTGCCTGTATTCCTTGGTTTTCAAAGGCAACTGACAGAGCCATATGGAATACCAGCTATTTCATTCACAAACGGGAGACTCTGCTCAGCTCACAAAGTGCTCAGCAGTAAGGCAGCTGGCAGCTGGAGAGGAAGGGGCGGAACTGGCACCCCCCCCTTTCTGGATGCTTCACCCACACTCAAGACCATTTTGAAAGTAGTTGCGATTTGGCCCCCCGTCCTACACATGGTTCTCTGTATGGGACCAGGGGTTACAGAGACCAGGAGGGAGAGGTCGCAGGGTTAGGGGGAAGGGACAACCACAAAGGACAGCTACAGCTTCCATCTTCTCCCTCTTCAGGGACCAACGTGGACAAGGCATCCCCTTAGCCCTTGGCTTCCACCTAACCTGCTAGCTTGTTCTCTGACAGCTCTACCAAGGACATGCAGACACTGATAATGTCGGTTTCAAACCTCACCTGAGCCTCAGTGCTACTCGGGAGCACAATCAGCTCTTCTCCCAACCTCCTCTCAATCCTTAAAGGGCAACTTCCACTTCACCCAACACATTCTTTTTCTTTGCAAAGGTCAAAACAGCTTTTTTTGGGGGGGAGGGGGACACAGCTGGGCAGTGGTGGCACACACCTTTAATTCCAGCACTTGGGAGGGGCAGGTGGATCTCTGTGAATGAGGCCAGCCTGATCTACCCAGCTAGTTTTAGGAAGGCGAGAGCTACACAGAGAAACCCTGTCTGTAAAAATAAATTATTAAAAATAAATAAACAACAAACAAACCATACTTCTATAAACTGGAGTGGGCAGTTTTCCCCTTGATTTGAGGATCACATGAGAACAAGACTTTCCACAGCCAAACAAATAAAGCACTCAGAACCAGGTGACAGGACCCCATGCTCAGGCTGGGCGACCACCACCGTACTCACCACCGTGAGCTCCTTGCCGGCTGCCTTCCGGAAGGCTTTAGTCCACCTGACTTTGCGTGGGTTCCGCTTCTTCTTGAAGTTTTTATGACACTTGGATTTGCAGAATCGGAACACCTATAAGACACCGGCGTTAAAATACTGGTATCAACTATAAAAATGTTTCCATCACAGAATACACCCACTAGTCAACCAACAACTACTGTGAGTCTGAGAAATGACAATGGTGTTCGTGAACAACAACTACTGACAACACTGAGAATCACAAGAGACATCAGTTCTGTTCTGATGGTGACAAGCAACGTTCACAGGCTCACATTTCCCTTTTAACCCTGTCACAAGAGCTCACAAAGTTCCACCCCTCCACATGGATCTATATATGCCGTTAACAGCTGCTGGGGGGGGGGTCTTCGGTGTTATAGGCTAACGAGGTGCTATGCTCCTTTAAATAACCCTTCACCCATACCCTTGTTAAGTTACTCTAATGAAACTCATTGCTTCGCCAGAAAAAGAAAAAGAAGGCATGATACGAAATGAACGGGAACCATCTGCAAAAAGGACCCATCAGGTCGGGGCGCAGGAAGGGTAACCGGCTCAAATGGGACCGAAGTACATCATGGACATGCAATTCTGAGAATTAGAGGAATGAGGCTGACTCCCAAATAAGAGGGCAAATGCATGCACTATATAAGGCCTGTCATAACTTCACCCCGTATCACTATTCACATTATCAGCCCCACCCCAAGCCTCGCCTGCCATTTACACTCCAGTCCTCGTTCAGAGACTCAACTGTTCTGCACCTTCTACTCAAATTGCGCAATGTCCTACATAGGATGCTCCTTCCCTCGCATGCAGAAATCAAAACACTGAACTCGGGGGAAGGATCCGGTGTAGCCAGGAGTGCTCCGAGGCTTCCTGAACTTGAGACCTGGAGAGATCAAGGGGGTCAAGAACTGAACCGTCCTATGTTGGCTAAAGGAGGTTTGGCTCCCGAAGGTCTGACGAAGCGGGATAGTGAAGGCTGCGAGGAAGCCAGTTCCCCAAAAACCTCCATTCTGAGTCTCTCCTAGCTCATCTCCAGCAACAACGCGGAACTCTACTCGGCCGCAGGCACCACGTCCATTAACCTCTGCAGACCCTCCCACCTCCACTCGGAGGTCAGCACGAAGCCTGCCCGAGCATGCGTTCGACCGAGTCCTGACCCTACGGCAGCCCAGACGGCCTTGGGATGAGACGTGCGTCCGGCCGCAGCGAGGAGAACTCGCCCGCTGCGAGCTGAGGCCTGGACTCCCAGCCCGGGCCACCCCGGCGCAGCCACCAACCACCGCCAGCCGCGCGCGCTCCCGTCCCCAGCCACCGGGAGCGCGCGGGCCACGGCCGCCTCACCTTGCAATCGTTTCGGACGAACATCATGCCGTGGCCCGGGTAGATCGGCCCGGAACAGAAGTAACACTTCTCGATCCTCATGTTGACTCCGCGTGGGACCCACCTCCCGGGAGCCGAGCTTGAGAGGAAGTGATGTAAAACGTCACTTCCTAGCCGCCGGAAGCAATTCTCTGACACGACCAGGAAATGGTCCTTGGAGCGCGCACTGAGCGTAAAGGCACCTCCCGAAGAACGCATGCGTGGCAGCATCGCCGCCGAGCACACGCTCGGAGGCTTTAGTCTGCATCCGTGTGTTTTGACTCAGTGTCCCTGGCCATCTTCTGTACCTGCGCTTTAAGCGTCGCAGAATTTGTCCGTGTATACTTACGTTATTGTGGTTTGTGTGTTTGCCGTGAGTACGCTCCTCGTGGCCAAGTCTCCTTTACCCCAGGCTTGCCTTCCCCAAAAGACTTGGCAGGAGTACGCCGCAAGAACCTCCCTCCCCAGCCTCGGAAGACAAACCGTGTGGGTCCCAGGGATTGATATCGGGTCCCTTATTCTGGTTTTGTGTTTTTGAGAGAGGATCTCAGTTTGTGTAGTCTGGAACTGACTCTGTAAACTAGCCTCGAACTACTAGAGATCTGCCTGCCTCTGCCTCCCTAGTAGTGGAGTTAAGAGGGTGCACTACCTTGCCTGGCTGTTTTTTAAATCTGTATTTTATGTTTTGTTTGCTTAGCACGTTCACGGTGTATGTGTGCTGTGCCAACCAAGGCCAGAAGATGGCGTAGGATTCCCTGGAACCGGAGTTAATAGTTGTGAACCTCCTCAAAGAGCAGCCGGTGTTCTTAACTACTGAGTCATCTCTTCAGCACCTCATTCTGTTTTTGAGGTAGACATCTCAATATGTAATTGAGCTTACCTGGAAATCACCATCCCCCTGCCTCCATGCTGGCATTGTGGAGGTGTGTCACCTTACCTGTCTCGTTATATGTTGATCACATATTGGAATATTTAAAGTATGTTTAAATAAATCATACTGATAAATTTTTGGCTAAGTGTGCCGGTGCATATCCTTAACACCATCACTGGGGATGCAAAGGTAGGCTGTAGGAGAGACCTCTGTAGGTTCTAGACATTACTTAGCAAATTTCAGGTCAGCCAGAACTACTTATTTAGCTCCTGTCAAAGAAAGGGGAAAAAAGCCAAAATACTTCTGCCTGTTTTTGTTTGTTTCTTTTCATATTTTGAAGTGTGGCCTCTATACAAAGCTGCCCTACAGGCTTGCCTATACTCCTGTCCCACTGGCTTCTCCTATCTCCCTGATCAAAAGTTAGTAGTTTTATCACTTTTCCTGTGTGCTAGGATCAAACCCAAGGTCCGAGCATGCTAGTCAAGTACTCTACCACTGACTGCACCCCCAAACCCAAAGCTATAGTCTTCTGTTCCTGAGTTGACCTCACTGGACAAGATGTCAAAACTGGTGCCTTGGATCTCAGCTCCCAGACTATGCAGCCGAAGAATTAGTAGGCTGTCTTTCTGATTAGAAGGCATGGCCTTGTTGGAGGCGTGCCATTGGGGTGACTTTGAGGTTTCAAGAAACCACATACTATACCTAGTCCGTTCCCTCTCTACCTTGTGCTGTGGATCAGGTGTAAGCATCCAGCTACTGCTATGCCTGTCTGCTGCCATGCTCGTTGCCATAGCAGTCATGAACTCATCCCCAAACTGTGAGCCCCATTAAATGTTTTTGTTTTGGTTTGATTTTGGTTTTTGGCAGTTTTCTCTGTGACTTTGGAGGGTGTCCTGGAACTAGCTCTTGTAGACCAGGCTGGTCTTGATCTCAGAGAGATCTGCTTGCCTCTGCCTCCTGAGTGCTGGGATTAAAGTCATGAGCTACCACCACCACCCGGCCCCATTAAATACTTCTGTGAGTTGTCTTGGTTATGTTGTTTTATATGAAAACAACTATAACTTAGTTATAGAAAAATAACTAAGACACTTCCCATCTCTAACTGCTCCCTTTAGTTTGTAAGCTGTTTTCTATAATTTTATGTAATGGATATATAGCCATGCTTGTAGTCTATGACTTGACCCACTTTGGGGATGGCATATCAATTATTTACATTAAGATTCATAACATGGGTTTGAAGAGATGGCTCAGAGGTTAAGAGCACTTACTGCTCTTCCAGAGTTCCTGAGTTCAATTCCCAGCAACTACATGGTGGCTCACAACCATCTGTAATGAGATCTGGTGTCATCTTCTGGCATGCAAGCATACATGCAGACAGAACACTGTATACACAACAAATCTTATTTTAAAAAAAAAGATTGCTAACAATAGCAAAATCAGTTATAAATTGGCAGAGAAATAATTTTATGGTTGGGGTTCGCCACAACATGAAGAACTGCTTTATTTTGGTTTTTTGAGACAGGTTTCTCTGTGTAGACCTGGCTGTCCTGAAACTGACTCTGTAAACCAGGCTGTCATAGAACTCACAGAGATCCGCCTGCCTCTGCCTCCCCTGAGTGCTGGGATTAAATGCTTGCACCATCACCGCCTAGCTTCTCGACTGAGGTTCCCACTTCCATAATGACTGTTACTTGTGTCCAGTTGACATAAAAACCAACGAGCATAGAAATCTTTGACAACATACCAAGACTGGGGTGGGGTGGATATTAGAATGAGGGAGAGAGAAAAATCAGAAAGATGGAGGGGAAGAGAACATCATCTTAATTTCTAAATTAGTGTACATGAGGCTGGAGACGGCTCTGTGCTTCAGTGGGATTGTTCTACCCAGTGCTGGCACACACCTCTATCTACTTAGCCAGGCGGTGGTGGTGCATGTTTTTAGTCCCAGCACTCAGGAGGCAGAAGCAGGAGGATCTCTGTGAGTTCGAGGCCAGCCTGGTCTACCGAGAGAGTTCCAGGACAGACTCCAAAGCTACAAAGAAACCCTGTCTCAAAGAACAAAACAAACAAAAAGAGATACTTCCTATTTGCTAAAAGGAGTCATTCTTATTCTCTGGCAAAAGTTATGTATGACTCTCATTAACATATGACTGTGGTGCCATGACATTAACATGTCAAGGTCGACCCCTCAAATCCCTCCTCACAAGCCCCACCCAGCTCACAGGCTCCCTTCCTCCCAGGCACCATAAAATCCAGATGTCATAATATACTCCCCACCCCCCACCCCCACACACCTCACCCTGTTGATTCTACTCTCCTGGAGAGACAGCCTAAGCAATTTAGAATAACTTTCTTTTTCACTCATGGAGTAACTATTTGGGTTTTTTCTTTTTTTTTTCTTTTTTTTTCTTTTTTTTTCTTTTTTTTTTTTTTTTTTTGGTTTTCGAGACAAGGTTTCTCTGTATTGTTTTGGAGCCTGTCCTGGAATTGTAGACCAGGCTGGTCTAGAACTCAGAGATCCGCCTGCCTCTGCCTCCCCAGTGCTGGGATTAAAGTCGTGCTCCACCCATGCCCTGCTGGGTTTCTTTACTATATCCATTTCATTCACTATCTGCTACTTTGTAGTCTTTCTTGCAAAACAGCAAACTGAAAGCCCCTGTGGTGGTGCACTGTAATCTCAGCATTTGGAAGACAGAGGCAAGGTCATCTTCCACTACCTAGCAAACTAGGGGCCCTACTTTCCTATCCCAAGAGCCTGTAGTCCCAACGTTCGTGACGCTGAAGAGGGCACATTGCTGCAACTCCCAGGCTAGCCCTGGCTATGGTGAGAGACCCGGTCACAACCCGACAAAACCTGCAAAGGGGAATGTAACCATACCATTTAAGCCAGGGTGGTGCCTCACTGCTGTAATCCTACTGCTTTGGAGATTGAAGCAGTAAAACCACAAACCAACAAGAGCTACAGACCAAGATTTTGGGGAGGGGAAATATTTACAGGAAAATAGATGAAGCGCAACATATAAAAAGATTTTTTTCAAAGTCATTTCAGAAAGACAAAGCTAACATGTTTTCTACATTATGGGGGTCTGCACTCAAATAAGCTGAAAGTAGAAAGGGACTAAATGAGTTGGGCTTGTGTCAACTTGATGTGAGCTAGAGTTATCAGGAGTCTCGGTTGAAGAAATACCTCAAAAAAAAAAAAAACCAAAAAGTGCATGTTATACATGCACAAGTGTCACCATGGAACCCATTTATACTATACTGTTTATTCAGTAAAAGATATAGTTTTAATTCTTTAGAGTTGACTAGATGCAGTGGTACACTCCTATAACCTATCATTTAGGAGGTAGAGATAGGTAGATCAAAAGTTCAGGGTCCCCGGAGTGATAGTGCTGCACTCATATAATCCCAGTGCTCAGGAGGCAGAGACAGGCAGATCTGAATTCAAAGCCAACCTGTTCTACAGGCCGGAGTTCCAGAAAGGCCAGTGCTACATAGAGATCCTGTCTCAAAAAAAAAAAAAAAAAGGTTTAACTGCGTCTAAAGCTACATTGAGTTCAAGCTCTGGGCTACAGTCAACCCTGTTTCCACTAACTATATATAAAAACCTGATGTGGTGGCACTTTTTTGTTTTTTGTTTTTTCAAGACAGGGTTCCTCTGTGGCTTTGGAGGCTAGAACTAGCTCTTGTAGACCAGGCTGATCTCGAACTCACAGAGATCTGCCTGCCTCTGCCTCCCAAGTGCTGGGACTAAAGGCATGTGCCACCACTGCCCAGCCATGTGGTGAGGCACACACTTTTATTCCCAGGAGAGGCAGACAGAGCTGAGATGAGGCCAGCCTGGTTTACATATTGAGTTTCAGGCCAGCCAGGGCTACACAACATCTCAAGAAAACAAAAAATAAGCAAATCAAATCACCTGCATCCATTTCCTTTGAAACCAGGGATCCAACCCAGGGCCCTGTGCATTCAGGGGAAGGAAGCACTTACCACTACACTACATCATAGCCAAAGTAAAATTATTCGTTCTGAGCAATCTTTTACACCTACTTGAACCTAATTCATTTACAGACAGGAGTAGACATGAGGCTGGCTCCTCATATCTGGAATTAAAAATGCCCAGTCTTCTTATGATGTAAGATAAAGGGGAATGAATGGCTCACCAGGAGATAAAGCACAGACTTGATCCTAGCACTCAGAAGGCAGAAGTAAGCAGAACTCTTTTTGTTTTTGTTTTTTTTGTTTTTGGGTTTTTTTTTTTTTTTGGTTTTTCGAGACAGGGTTTCTCTGTGGCTTTGGAGGCTGTCCTGGAACTATCTCTTGTAGACCAGGCTGGCCTCAAACTCAGAGATCCGCCTGCCTCTGCCTCCCTAGTGCTGGGATCAAAGGCGTGCACCACCAATGCCAGGCCATTAAGCAAACCTCTTAAGAGTTCTAAGCCAGCCTGGACTATAGTGTGAATCATAAGCCAGTCAGAGCCACAGTGAGACCCTGCCTCAAAAACATGTCCTGCCGAGCAGTGGTGGTGCACGCCTTTGATCCCAGCACTAGGGAGGCAGAGGCAGGCGGATCTCTGAGTTCAAGGCCAGCCTGGTCTACAGAGCAAGTTCCAGGACAGGCTCCAAAACAATACAGAGAAACCTTGTTCAATTAAAAATAAAAACCGAACATGGCCATGGAGAGGTTCCTTAAACTTGATATCCCATTCTCAAGTCATCTCTATATTCTGATTTGTCACCCAGAACATGTAAGCTCTGCCTGGAATGCGCCAAGCCCAAGCTCTGCTCTCCCCTCCTCAGTGATGATCTCCTAGAATTTTTGGTGCAAGGTCTCACTGTGCAGCTCTGGCTGGCCTAGAACTTGCTATGCTGTGTACACCAGGATGTCCCTGAAATTCCAGAGGTCCGCCTGCCCCAGATTCCCAGGGGCTGGGACTAAAGGCATGCAGCACCACAGCCTTGCCCCCCCTGGAATTTATGTGAAAAATGTCAGTCACAATCATTCCTGCCAGCGGTTAACCCTACCACCAGAATGTTTCCATGGAAATCTACAGCACTCAACCACCTCCACCTCAGACTTCGAAGGATCCTCAACCCATGAGCTCTCCAAGTTCAGGAAACTCAGACGACCCCAGAAAAGTCCTAAAGCTGACAGCATTGCAGGCCTAGCCCTCCTACAATTCCCCTCCTCCCAGAGGGACACTAGCCATAACCAGAAGTAGCTGGTGGCAACTAGATACAACCGGATGGCCCTTTCAGAGCCAGTTTTGTCAAGTGAACAAGTTTCAAACCCCGGGCCGTTCAAGGCACCTTGAGTCAAATATCAGGTGGGAGACTCAAGACCTGCAGGACAGCTCCATCCCTTCCAGATGTACTGCATTAAAGAACAAGGGAAGCCTTTGATCCTGCCCCTATGAGTGCTGGGGTGGGGACCAACAATCCTAGAGATTCTACCCTCAAGGTCGATAGCAGGTGTGTCCAACAGCACTTGGCTGAGCAGTGTTCCCTTTCCCACCCAAATAATACACCTTGGGGGATGCAATTCTTTAGTGGAATAGTTTCGGTTTTATTTATAAACATTTAACGCAATTTTAGGTCTTCCAATTTTAGGTCAAAAACAACCAAAAAGAAGATGTCTGGAGACTTAGGCAGGCAGGGGCTAAAGATCGCTGCCTCATTCATCCCAGGCTAGCCTGGGAACTAGACAGCCCCCTGCCTCTAGGTGCTGGGGTTACACATGTGTACCACATCTATCCTGGCTCAACACCTGGGGCACAGCTATAACCTGGTAAGTGGTTCCCAGCCAGCCTTTGAAGGCTCAATACTGACATCAAAAGATTGCTGGGCTTCCTCTCATGGCTCTCCACAGAAGAGCTCTGGGTCTGTCCCTGCTTTAAGAACAACCTCAGGAAACTTCTGGGCCGGCACCTCAGAGACCTCTACAGAATGAATGCTGCTGGATGACAGCCTCGCAGACTTCAATGGGAGACTGAAGTGTCCTTGGTGGCAGCTTCACTAGCCTCCACATTATCCTGCTGGGTGGAAGCCTCATGGACCACCAGGGGAGCCGGCTGGGTAGCAGCATCACCGACCTCCACAGGAACCAGCTGGGAAGCAGCATCACTGACCTCCGCGGGAGCCAGCTGGGTAGCAACATCACTGACCTCCACGGGAGCCGGCTGGGTAGCAGCATCACTGACCTCCACGGGAACCGGCTGGGTAGCAACATCAGTGACCTCTAGGGGAGCCAGCTGGGTAGCAGCATCACTGACCTCTAGGGGAGCCAGCTGGGTAGCAGCATCCCTGACCTCTAGGGGAGCCGGCTGGGTAGCAGCATCACCGACCTCCACAGGAGCCGGCTGGGTAGCAGCATCACTGACCTCCACGGGAACCGGCTGGGTAGCAGCATCACTGACCTCTAGGGGAGCCAGCTGGGTAGAAGCATCCTTGACCTCTAGGGGAGCCAGCTGGGTAGCAACATCACTGACCTCCAGGGAAGCCGGCTGGGTAGCAGCATCACCGACCTCCACGGGAGCCGGCTGGGTAGTAGCATCAATTACCTCCAGGGGAGCCGGCTGGGTAGCAGCATCACCGACCTCCACGGGAGCCGGCTGGGTAGCAGCATCCCTAACCTCCAGGGGAGCCGGCTGGGTAGCAGCATCACCGACCTCCACGGGAGCCGGCTGGGTAGCAACATCAATGACCTCCACAGGAGCCAGCTGGGTAGCAGCATCCCTAACCTCCAGGGGAGCCGACTGGGTAGCAGCATCACTGACCTCCAGGGGAGCCTGCTGGGTGGCAACATCATGGACCTTCACAGGAGTCAGCTGGGTGCCAGCCTCCTGAACCTCCACAGGAAAATACTGGGTCTCAGCCTCTTGAGAAAGGTCCTCTGTTAGAATGAAAGCAGTGTAAGGAGACTAGTACAGACAGTCACCCCTGGGACCTACTGTAGGGCACAAAGGTTCCCAAACACAGGGCTATCTGGCCTCCTGCAACATTTCCAAAATCGGTTTTCCCCAGTGGATCCCTCTCAGGGAACCAGGGTTTTCTGGGCAACACAATCCTACCTACTCCCAGTCCATACCTTGCATTTTTTTATTGGAGAAATAGTTAGCCAAGTTCGAGATCATCTGTGAAACATCCTCTTGGCAATGAGGGGACCCGAATATCAAAATCTCAGCTGCCCCTTCAGGCTCCCACTGGTTCACTTGAAGCAAAGTACATGACATATTCTCGACGTGTGGAATGTTCTCTCCACCCTTACCTACGCAGGGAACAGGAGAAACATGAGGGTGAGGTGGCTCAAACTTCTTGGCACTTTTGCTCAGAAGCTGAGGCAGCAGAGTGGAGATGGCACGGGCCTGGGGCCACAGCCACCGGGCTGGCTTTCTCTATAGGACGTACTCAGACATAGAAGTCAGGAAAGAGGTACTGCTGCCTTCCCTTCCCAGGTCACTCACCAAAAATAGCTTCCGCAAGCCAGACATCCAAGTATATTGCTTTTGGTTCATCCAGATACTTGGTATGGAACCAGCCGGGTAGCTTGCTGGAGTCTCCAACAACTTCAAATAAAGTCCCTTCTTTGTGTCGCAGCTGGACGAGCGACTTAAAGCTCTTAAAAGCAGTCATGTTGCACCAGTATCATTGCAAATACCATACACAAATCCAAACCCAGAAAACCAAAGAAAAAGGCCACTCTGGCAAGCTGTATTTTAAGAGCTGTTTGCTAGCCCCTCCCTACCCTTGTCCTTCCAATTGGCTCTCAGGCCTTGCTTCCCACTCCCAGAAGCCCCGCCTGTCTTCAAGGCTTCACAGATAGACTGGCTGCACCTGTGAGAGAGATGTGTTACACATAGAGGGAGAGACTGGTTTCTGGTCTTCAGACACTTGTTGGGGCGTTCGCCTTTAATCCCAGCACTTGGGAGGCAGAGGCAGGCGGATCTCTGTGAGTTCGAGGCCAGCCTGGTCTACAAAGTGAGTTCCAGGACAGCCTCCAAAGCCACAGAGAAACCCTGTCTCGAAAAACCAAAAAAAAAAATATTCGGTCAAGTAACTAGGTATACCTGACTCTGAAGACCCGCCGGCATCAGGACAGGCCGGTTCCTCATTAAAGCCTAATGGGTCTATCGGCAGCTGATATCTATCAGCAGGAACAGAATGCACACAATGCTCTGGAACCCAAATGGGGGACTCAGCATCCTGTGGGAATACCCAAACAGACCACCGGGCCCATACCAAAACGGGATCTGGTCCTTTCTAAATACGTGAGGTTGGGTCTTTCCATTTAACTAGAGGTTTTTGCTGTACAGTGGATCACCAATGATGGTCTGCTGCAGAGCTGTCAGAAGCATCCACAATTTAAAAATTTAAGATATAGAGGATAAGTGATAGAGTAGAGTGAGGAGAGCCAAGGTGACCTCCAAGATCCCCCTCCTTTGCTTTAGCTAAATAGGCTTTCAGAGTGCGATGAGCGCTTTCCACAGCAGCCTGCTCTCAGGGGTTGTAAGGAATTCCAGTTTTGGGGAAAATATCAAAATCTAGACAAAAGTGATTGAAACCTCTGCTGACATAGGCAGGGCCATTATCAGTTTTAATTTGTGGAGGGGTGAGCCCCACAAAGCTATCCACCCTAAGGGCAGGGATAAGGAAATTTAGGACAGGTGGAGATAAAAGGAAGTGAAAGAGAAACGAACCCCTCTTCTCCTTTCTTCCTCTGGAAGCCTGCCACACTTTTGACTCCCCAGCCTTTTGTGTAAGTTCTTATTCTGGTAAATATTTCATATTGTATTGACATTTGTTTTGGGACCCCCATGTACGAAAAAGCCTGTAAACAGTGTCTCTTAACATCTTTCACTTTTTCACCAGAGTGGGCAAAGGTGAATATCAGGTGGGAAAAAGTATCTACAGAAACATGGACAAATGTTAATTTACCAAAGGATGGCACATGTGTTACATCCATTTGCCAAATGTGGTTGGGCCAAAGTCCTTGAGGATTAACTCCCAAGTGAGGCACAGGAAGAAATTCTACAAAAAAAGGGCAATCCTTAACTATCTGAACAACCTTTTCTTTGGTAATCCCAGTATGAAAGCATAAAGGCCCTGCGCTGAGATGAAAGCGCTTATGTAGGGATTGTGCTTTAGTGAGCCCTTGTAAAACCACACCTATTTGAGCAGACATGTCAGCCATGCGATTTCCTTTGCTGAGGGGCCCTGGCAAAGGGGTGTGGGCCCTAAGATGTCCCTCACACAAATGTAGGTTCACTCTGTTGCCATAGCAGACCTTGTACCTGTAATAAACTTTCTTGTATCCCAAAGATGGGAGCAACATAGACAGTAGTCTCCAAGGATTGGGTAATATGAGCAACATGTTGACTATTGATATATATGTTTAATGCTTCCATGGGGAAAAGTTGTAGAGCCAAGGCCACGGCTGAAAGTTCGGCCATTTGGGCAGAAGTTGCAGGAATTCTGGCTGTCTTAATGATCGGAAAAAACACGACTACAGCTGTACCTTTAGCGGAACCATCTGTGAAAACTACTCACCCATTAGAAATAGGCTGAGAGACTACAATTTTTCGGAAAATCAAAGGATGTATTTTAAAAAAGGAAACCAAATTATTGGATGGGTAATGATTAATAACTCTGGGTAGCAAAGAGAAAAATGGCCCAATTACAATTATTATTTGTTGACAGGTGTAATAACCTGATCTGGTTCCTTGCCAAAGGTTTGTAAGACAATCTTTTGTGCTTTAAATAGGAGTGCAACTATAGCTTGGGGGTAGGACACCACAGATTTAGAAGGGGAGGCTCAAGAATGAACCCAGAGAATGGGATTCTCTTGCCAAAAAAAAACTCCTGTAGGAGCATGAGCAGAACAAAACACAATTTTAGAGGCTGAGCATAGTCTATAAAATCCAAATGAGCCCCTTCTAAGGCCTTTTCAATCAAATGAATACACTCCTGTCCTGCCATAGTGAGGACTCTGGGAGAGTTGGGATCCAAATCCCCTTGTAATATATCAAAAAGAGGTATAAGTTGCCCAGTAGTAATTTTTAAGCTAGGTCTGATCCAATTGATATATCCCAGAAGCTTTTGAAAATCATTTAACATTTGAAAGGTGTCCAGGTGAAGACTGGACTTTTTGAGGGCACACCCTGTTATGAAGCAAGCGATGTACCTTTTCTGGTGACACCCGAAAGCCAGCCAATCCCAAGGTGGTCTGCAAACCTCAAAATGTGTAGCCATTGAGGTCTGCACACAAACGGCCGGGTCATAAAGAACCTGCTGGCCCAGTAAGCAGCTCCAAATTCCCACCAGGGAAACCGGCAGCCATGCTGCACCACCCCGTCTGGCCACACAGTTCCAGACAGAGAGAACCGGAATGTTTAGGATTATAGGCAGGGGGATGTGGCTTAAGGGAACATTTTTTTAAGCTTATGTTTTAATTGGAGGTTGTTTCTCAAGTTGAGGCTTTTTGTGTTCCTCAGTCTCATCCCCTGAAGAAGAGGGGGAAGACTCAGAAGAAGGAACATTAGAAGTTTGAATTGATCTAACAGACTCTAGGTCTTGAGCCTCTGTGAAAGCATCTTTAGCTTTTTTGACCTGTTCTTTCATTACCGTATTATCACTAATAAGTGTACGCTACATAGAAAAGGCAACAATTGGTATGGTATTTGACCCTTCCTTATGTAAAGTTCTTTGTAGGTCCATTCTAACCTGGCTCCAATCGAGGGAATTAAGATCACCAGAGACCAAAAACCAAGGGCTGACTTTATGTATAGTTTTTAAGAAGTCCTTAGCTGTCTTATGTCTGATATTCGTGCCCTGACATTTTAACAATTGGATCAAATGGTCCTCCAGAAGGGGATAGGAACTAGTAGCACCCATATTTAATACACTCACTCCTAACCTTACTGAGAATGCTGGATGGCTTTCTGTGGGGGTGGGCTCTCAGGAAATCCCTGAAAATCTTGACACCAATGGGTCAAGTGAGGGCTGGAGCCTTGTGGGGGGCTGACCCCTATCTGGGGCCTGACTCAAAACCACCCCTCTGTGGGGGCTGACCCTCTATTTGAGGCCTAACTCGGTACCCCTAACTTGGTACCCCTGTCCAAATACATCCTAAAGATGTAAATGAAGAAAAATTCAGCAGCTCATTCTTGCAAGGAGAATGGTGTTTATTTTAACAAGAGTGGAGCCTTATATACCAATGTCAGGAAAACCACCAATGTCAGAAGCCAATGTTCCCAGGGCTCTCTGGCAAAGGGTGGGCCAAAAACAGGAATTATCATTTAGACAATAAGTGTGGACAGAAAACGGGAACTTGCATGAAGGCTTTACTGGAAGGAGGGGACAAGAAATGTTCCTAGTCCCTAGAAGCTCCTAGTCCCAAGCTGGTCAACAGACCCCATGGGGGAAGGATGCAACAAGGGACATTCTGGTGGCCTGTGAAAGTGACTGCTCTTTTATAGGACATGGTTGGACAAGGTGGTATTTCAGAAGTCTTAGAGAGAGTGCCAAGCAGACTTGTGGAAAGCTAGCATCCAAGACAGACTGATAGCAAGCACCAGGAATATAGCTGCCTGGGTGGTGTGCCCAGAGGAGCGGGTGTAAGTGTGAAGACATAGGAGAGGGGGCCGAGTCTCCTCTTTTAGTCAGCAGCCACGCCTCCCCCAATGCCCTGGCACTGCCCCTCAGCTCTGCTTTGAGTACAGGCTGCCACCATCTTTGGTTTGCTCCCTCAGACTATCTGGTTCACCATTCCTCAAGGGTGCTCAGTAAATACTAGATAAAACACTTTAATTGGGGGCTGGAGAGATGGCTCAGCTGTTAGGAACACGGGCTGTTCTTCCAGAGGACCCAGGTTCAACTCCCAGCACCCACAATGCAGCTCACAGATGGCTGTGCCTCCAGTCCCAAAGGATCTGATGATGCCTTTTTCTGGCCTCCAAGGACACTGCTCACACACGGTACCCAGGCATGCATTTGGGCAAACATTCATATACATGAAACACATAAAATTGCCCAAGAAGACATTTTGAATTATGTTCCCAGGATGTTGTTTTGACCAGGCCCCTCAATGGGCATCTCATGGACTCTGCACCCTGAATTTGGATTCCTTTGACATTACAGTACATAGTTTATAATGTTCATACAAACCTGCTAAGACTGAACTGATGGGAGATGTCATTCTGAAATCTGTCTCTTATTGGTTGTTGAATAAAGCACTGTTGGCCAATAGGGAAGCAAGATAGGTGGGACTAGGAGTCGAGGAGGATTCTGGGAAAGAGAAACCCAGGGAGTCATGATGTAGCCTCCAGAGGACTAAAAGGTCCAGACCCTTTCTCTGGTAAGAGAAATACTTAGATTAACAATTATGGGGTAAATACTTAAGTCAGAGATAGCCAGTAAGAAACCAAGCAAACGGCCAACAGCTTCATAATTAATATAGCCTCCTGTGTTTATTTGGGACTGATGCAGCTCTGGAACCAGGCAGGCGGGAAGGCTTCACTCTACACTGAACCTCTTTTTTTTTTAATGTTTTAATTGGCACAAAGTTCATTGAAGAGCATTTTCTTTTATACAGATTTGCAAATAGAAAAATACATTGACACAAAATTGTTATTTTATATCAAATTTAAACCATTTTCAAAGAGACTACAGGTTTTTCAAAGGATCAAGGCAGTTCCTTGTGTGGTTGTCTATCACACACATTTAACCCTGTGCCACTTTTGGCGCCAACAAGACCTGATTCTAACTGTGGATCTGCTTCTTGAAAGTGGCACTGTGCAAATGTTGTCGTTTTGAGACAGGGTTTCTCTGCAGCTTTGGAGCCCATCCTGGAACTCGCTCTGTAGACCAGGCTGGCCTTGAATTCACAGAGGTCCACCTGCCTCTGCCTCCTGAGTGCTGGGATCAAAGATGTATGTCACCACTGCCTGGCTGACATTAACTTATTTTTATTTACAAAAGAGACATTTAAAATGAGCCTTGATAAATGATAAACTCCACCCTCCACTGAGGTCTTAGCACAACTTTGGAAGGCACTACTGTACACGCCTCCCCCCTGCAAAAAAAAAAAAAAACCACAGGATCTGTTTCAGATATAGAGGATTTGGATGCAAAAGCCCTCAATGAGCTTCAGTGTGTCAAAGAATCACTCATTTCATTGACAGAAAAAGCGTAGTAGCCAAGGCTAATTTTGCTGGGAAGGGGGTCAAAGGACAGTGGCAATAAATAATAGATGCTGAATTTTAAAAGGCTTTAAGGGCTGGGTGTGATGGCTCTACCTTTAATCTGAGCACTTGGGAGGCTGATTTCAGACAGATCTCTGTGAGTTCAAGGCCAGCCTGGTGGTCTACAAAGGGAGTTCCAGGCCAGCCAGGGCTACATAGTGACACCTTGTCTAAAAACAAAAAGACAAAAAGCCCAAAAATACTTGAGAACTACTATTCAAACTACTTATTTTCCTTTATATTTGTTTTACTAATTACAAGTTCTGCCAAACATTTAGTGTCCAAAAAAAAAAAAAAAAAAAGAAAAACAGTTTTTACCTTTTAAAATTATAATTGGTGGCTGGGCGGTGGTGGAGCATGCCTTTAGTCCCAGCACTCGGGAGGCAGAGGCATATGGATCTCTTGTGAGTTCGAGGCCAGCCTGGTCTACAGAGCAAGTTCCAGGACAGCCTCCAAAACAATACAGAGAAATCCTGTCTCCAAAAAAGAAAAAAAAATGTGTTTTTTTTTCTCTTGGTGAAGTTCTTTGGAAATTTTGGCTTACTTTCTTTAAGCCATTTTAAAAGACTTTTGCTCTGAATGAGACATCTTAGGTCTGAAGAAATAGATTTTATAGAGAACATTTTATTTATTTATTTATTTATTTTTTGTTTTTTGTTTTTTTTTGAGACAGGATTTCTCTGCATTGTTTTGGAGCCTGTCCTGGAACTCACTCTGTAGACCAGGCTGGCTTTGAACTCACAGAAATCCTCCTGTCTCTGCCTACAAAGAACATTTTAAGTCACCCTTTTTGGGCATGACTGAGACAATATAGCACAACACATGATCTTGACAAGATAACACAAGTACGTAAAATGCCCACATCACCAGTGAAAGTACAGGCTATAAAACACTTTTCTTAAACTAGCATACACATGTGGCAGCTTAAATACAGACATTGCTCTCCCTCCAGATAGCAAATAAACAAACTGGGAAATAGCAATAACACCCAGCCTGATGGTAAAGTCAGATTAGTAGTCTACAAAGGAATTGAAAATGCAGCCTGAAGGTGCCAGAAAAACCATAAATATGAAGGAAAAAAAGAGAAATCTTTCTTACCATGCACACAGCAGAAGTACCTGCTATGCTCCAATGTGGACTGAACCAACAGACCGGTCATAAACACCTGGGTCTCTATGACCCTGAAGCCAAGAGCCAGAAAAATCTGACTTCACCTGCTTCACTACTTCACCCGCCCCTGCCCTGCAAACCTTCCCACCACCACCAAAGCCATAGTCAACCCAATCTACATGTCAAAGGGAAGGCTTACATTAAAGGTAATGCTGAAAGACACTGATGCAATGTGTGCATAATATTAGCATTCAAGTGTTTGTGAGTGATGTTCTAAGTGGCCAACTATGGTATGGAATTTAAAATCTGGATTCTCAAGACCATGATGGCCTTTCATTGCTCAAAGATCCTAATGTCTTTACTGAGACTCTAATGAGACTCCAGGTCTATCTGTTACAGCAGGTGACAGTACCATGAGCAGTCTACAAAAACAGATGCAACATTTCCTGGATGCAAAATCTTGAACCCCCAAATGACCTGGCACCATGGGCTTGGGCTTTACAAGGCACTTTTGGCTCTGTGAAATAGTTCTCCCAATTCTTGGATACATAAAGCTGCAACAAGTTACAAATGGATGCTGAGTTAACAATGTCTGCTGGAGACGGAGAAGCAATCGGCATTCGGTGCAGTGTTCATCTCAGCAAGCTGGCTGCATGTCTACCGCCAGCTCACAAGCAGGAGCCTGTGCGGCTGCCGTGGGCGCGGCACCTGGTGCCTCAGCAGCTGCAAATCCCCTTCTCCTTTTCCTCACTTAGCTGATCTGCAGAAGTGTGGCCGTTGGAGCGCACCACACCTTCTGGAATCCAGGACTTGTCCACACACCGTTCCATCCGCTTCATGATCAGGTCCAGGAGCATCTCAATTGCTTGGCTTATGTTCGTCCCGTTGGCAGCACTAGTTTCAAAATAGGGAATGCTGGAAGGACAGAGACAACTCAGCTGACAATGCGGAAGGGAGGACAGTGACCTTTTTTGTTTTGTTTTGGTTTTGGTTTTTTTGAGACAGGGTTTCTCTGTATTGTTTTGGAGGCTGTCCTGGAACTCACTCTGTAGACCAGGCTGGTCTCAACTCATAGAGATCCACCTGCCTCTGCCTCCCGAGTGCTGGGATTAAAGGAGTGTGCCACCAACACCTGGCTGAGGACAGTGACCTTTGTGCTTTATAATTTTTTAGCCATTCACAACTCAGAGAATGATTTTAGGATAAATATACATGGCAACAGTATGACTTCAGTAGGGAACAGAGAGGAGGCAACACTGTTCACATTATAATTCAATGTGCCAAATTACAAGGAAAACCTCTCTCTCTCTCTCTCTCCCTCCCTCCCTTCCTTCTTTCTTTAGAGACAGGGTTTCTCTGTGTAGCCTTGGCTGTCCTGGAACTTTTTGTACACCAGGCTGGCCTTGAAGTCAGAGACATTGGCCTTACAGAGTGCTGGGACTAAGGCATGTACCAACACCGCCTGGTGTCTGGTGAGAGGTTTCTTTTAAAAGAAAAAGACATCAACTGTTTTCCACTCAGAAGGTCAGGAGTGGATGCTGTTAATGACCGGTGAACTCTGCTATCCCCCAGAATACTTATCCCAGACTCTCCCTCAGAGATCTTTGGCTTTATTTTTCAGTCAACTTAGAGGACACATTCTTTTTTTTTTTTTTTTTCGGACAGGGTTACTCTGTAGTTTTTGGAGGCTGTCCTGGAACTCTCTTTGAAGACCAGGCTGGCCTCAAACTCACAGAGATCCACCTACCTCTGCCTCCCAAGTACTGGGATCAAAGGTGTAGGCCACCACCACCACCTGGCCAAAAAACACATTCTTTTTTTGTTTTGTTTTGGGGTTTCTTTGTGGTTTTGGAGGCTGTCCTGGAACTCGCTCTTGTAGACTGCCTGGCCGGGATCCTTAGAACAGATCCTTAGGGGAGATGTCATATGTATTTTATAGATAAAGTGACCAGCCAAACCTTTCCTAAACCCTTACATTAGACTTGTAGTTTACCTCTAGAACCGATCTTGAAAGAAATAGCATCTACTTTGAGTTGAGTGTGATGTAATGATGCCTCCTTGTGCACCAGGGATTGTATTACACCAGGAAACTTTTCCAAATTGTATTGCATTTAAACATGCTTAGAGTCAAGCATCTGGTGTCAGATCCCAGAAGTTTCATCCAGAAACTTCATTCAGTCCAGATGACTAAGTCCAGCTGAAATGAGTCTTCCTCCTAACCTCACCCATTTACCTGTGGGCTGTGATGCTTGCAAGACATTACCCTACACACACTCTCTGGTACTTCCTTGTGACTTCCCAGAGAAGTTAGTAACCCTTAGAGGGTCGTTGAGCTAATAAATTATACAAGTATTAGTGTGCTCTCCACATATGTCCTCATATCCTATAGCCCCTGTTAAACTAGAAAGTGTTCTCTTGCATCCACCACTGAGCAATGCCATATACCGCTGTTTTTAAAGACAGAATTTAACTAGGTAACTCAAATGAATCTCCTGCTTCAACCTATGCAGTATTTGGATTGCAGATGTGTACCACAACTCCTGGCTTAATATTTTATACATTTTAAAGATTTACTATTATTATTATTAGTAGTAGTAGTAGTAGTATTTCTTTTTTGTTTGTTTTTCCGAGACAGGGTTTCTCTGTGGCTTTGGAGGCTGTCCTGGAACTCCCTCTGTAGACCAGGTTGGCATGGAACTCAGAGATCCGCCTGCCTCTGCTTCCTGAGTGCTGGGATTAAAGGTGTGAGCCACTACCCCCTGGCATTATTATTTCTTTTTTTAGACAGGGTTCTCTGTATTGTTTTGGAGGCTGTCCTGGAACTCGCTCTGTAGACCAGGCTGGCATCGGACTCACAGAGATCCGCCTACCTCTGCCTCCCTAGTGCTGGGATTAAAGGCGTGAGTCACCACCGCCTGCCATTATTATTTCTTTTTTGAGACAGGGTTTCTCTGTGTGGCCCTGGCTGGCCTCAAACTCACAGAAATCCTCCTGCCTCTGCCTCCCAAGTGCTGGGATTAAAGGAGTGTGCCACCACTCCTCCCAGTTATTTTTATTGTTTTTAATTACACCTGTGTGTGCACATATGCATGTATGCATATGTGGGTTTGTGCACATGAGTGCAGGTGCCCACAAGGGCAAAAGATGGTGTTGATTCTCCAGGAACTGGCATTACAGACTGTTGTGAGTCACGAGACATGGATGCTGGAAAGGAAATTCTGTTCTTCTAAGGGCAGCAGATGCTGTTAAGCACTGAGCCATCTCTCCAACTGGATATTTTATACAGTTGGGAAGGCAATATAAAAAGAAACACAAAGCCTGAACGTGGGGAAGAAAGTAAGTACAAAGAAACAACTTAGGGCTGGAGAGATGCTCAGCACTCAAGAGCATGGGCTGCTCTTACAGAGGACCTGGATTCAGTTCCCAGCACCGCATGGCAGCTCACAACCATAAGTAACCCCAGTCCCAGGGGATCAGACACCCTCTCTGTTTTCCACTGTATACACGTGGTGCACATGTATAAATGCAGGAAAACCACTTGCAGGCATACAAAACATAGATAAGCAGCATTTTGTTTTGTTGAGACAGGAACTTTCTACATAGCAATGGCTGTCCTGGAATTTGCTACTTTGTCCAGGCTGACCTTAAATTTACATAGACCCGCCTGCCTCTGCCTCCCAAGCACTGAGATTAAAGGTGGTGTGTAAACTGGGCTGGGCTGTGGTAGTGTATAGCAATCTTTCTTGGACCACCAGCCCCCAAATATGACAGAGACTTATTAATTATGAATACTCGTCCTTGACTTAGGCTTGTTTCTAGCCAGCCTTTTTTTTTAAAGCTTAAATCAATCCATTTCCATCAATCCATGTGTTGCCCCAAGACTCATTTACCTCATCTACATATTGTCCATCCTGCTTTCCTGTCTGACTAGTTCCCCTTTTCTCCCTGCCAGCCAGCCCTGCCTAACCCCCCCTCCTTCTAACTATTGGATGCTCAGCTTTTTATTAGACTAACCAGGTGCCTTAGGCAAGCAAGGTAAAACAGCAACACATCTTTACACAGTTAAACAAATGCAGCATAAATAAAAGCAGCACATCTTTACTTAGTTAAACAAACAAACGTAAACAAATGCAACACACCTTCACACAGTTAAACTAAGATTCCACAACATAAACAAAAGCAACACATTTTACATAATTAAAATCCACAACAGTGGTGCACTCCTTTGCTCCCAGCAGGGAGGCAGGCAGGGAGATCTCTGAGTTCCACTAAGCCTGCCTGGTCTACAGAGCCAGGAATACACCTAGAAACCCTGCCTTGAAAAGCCAAAATAATAATAATAATGATAATAATAATTTAACTAAATCAGTAAGGATTCTGGGTTGTAGAGCTAGCACTGTGCTCCCAGAACAGCTCTGGAGGCCTCCTCCCCTTATCCTAGAAGAGGAAGACCAATGGTTCATGAGGTCATGTGCTGAGGCAATGGGACAACACACACAACTTAGCACAAACATTGGGACATGAGCGCCTTCTCTCAGAAACTGTATTCTTGCTGCATGGAGTAGAGCAATTCCAGCGTGCCAGAGGCACCATTTCTGCACATTCGAGAGCTGCTTGGTCTACAGAGTGAGTTCCAGGTGACAGCCAGGGCTAGGTATCTAGAAGACCCTGTGTCAAAAGTCCAGTATACAAGTGTGCACATGCCTGTGTATTCTCTTTTAATGTTTTTTTTTTTTTTCGAGACACGGATTCTCTGTGGCTTTGGAGGTTTAATTTTTTTTTTTTTGGTTTTTCGAGACAGGGTTTCTCTGTGGCTTTGGAGGCTGTCCTGGAACTAGCTCTTGTAGACCAGGCTGGCCTCGAACGCCCGGCCGGTTTAATGTATTTTTTAAAAAGTTTAGGTATCTAGGCATCAATTCAAAAGGATCATTACTTTAAACTACAGAAAACTGGTACTACCGTTTATGTCCACATGGTGGTGCCAAAGCAGCACTGCCTGGGAGCACTCTAAAACTAGGAATTTAAAAGCAAGTTGTGCAGGGGAATTGGTGGCGTATGCCTTTAATCCCAGCACTCGGGAGGCAGAGGCAGGCAAATCTCTGAGTTTGAGGTCAGCCTGGTCTACAGAGCAAGTTCTAGGGCAGGCTCCAAAGCTACACAGGGAAACCCTGTCTCGAAAAACAAACAAATAAAAAACAAAAAAAGTAAGTTGCTAGGGATTAAGAGATGCCTCAGTGGTTAAGAGTGCCCACTGTCCTTGCAGAAGACCCATGTTCAGTTCCCAGCACCATATCAGGTACTCACTAATGCCTGTAACTCCAGCTTCAGAGGGATGAAATGCCTCTGACATCTGTGGCATACCAGGTGTACCTGTGGGTGCCTGCACTTACACATACACACACACACACACACACACACACACACACACACACACACACACACAGAATGAAAGCACTTGCCCGGCATGTGCAAGGCCTTGGGTTCAGTCCCCAACACTGCAGAAGTTGTTAGAATGACAGCAAGGATGTCTGGAGAGTTCTGTCAAGTGTGTCTAGAAGTTTGACTTACTTGTGGATCCAGACTTCATGGTGAGTCTTGCTGGAGACTAAGTGCTCACAGCAATAGTCTGTGAGGTAATCATAAGAACCTGAAAGACTGTGGAAAATTAAATCTGGATCCTCTGTAACTAACTACTGAGTTACAGTGGGTTTCAGGGAATTTGTTTTGTGTGTTTGGATCCAGCTTACTTACCTAGTTTCAAAATATGCCTAATAATATATCATTAATTTCTTTCTTGTTAAATTTTTCATTTTTTTAAGATTTATTTATTTTTATCTATGTGCATGTATTTCTGGGTGAGGATGCCCTCTCACAGGTGTGAACTGTCATGTGGTTGCTGGGAATTGAACCCAGGTCCCCTGGAAGAGCAGCCAGTGCTCTTAATTGCTCAGCTGTCTCTTCAGCCCCCTAAATTTTTAATTTTTAAAATTTGTATTAGTGTTTTGCCTGTATGCATCTGTGTGCACCATATGTGTGCCTTGTGCCTAAGAAGTAAGAAAACGGCGCCGGATCTGAAGTTATGAATGGTTGAAGGCCACCAACTGGGTGCTGGGAGTCAAACCCTGGTCCTCTACAAGAGCAACAAGTGCTCTTAACCACGGAGCCATCTCTCTAGTCCCCATTAATTTCTTTCTCAACTCAGAGAAGGACGTCAAGTTTATAAGGGATCAAGTAACTGATCAGACACCAAATGGTTCTGGCCACGTGTTACCTAGCACAGAGCTGGTACAGAGCTCTGGCAAATTCAGCTCCCTGAAATCCAAAGCATGGTCTGTGCTGATGTCTGCTGTCTGTCACTGACATTGTGAAGAAAGGCTTTGTTTCGTTGTTTGAGACAGTTTCTCTGTCTGTTCCTAGTTGCCCTGGAGCTCCCTCTGTAGACCAGGCTGGCCTGAGTGCTGGGATCAAAGGCTTGAGCTGGTGCATGCAGGATGCAGGGAATTTAGCCACCACACGGCTCAGACCCCTGGTACAACAGACAACAACACGGAGCACTGATGCCCGGCAGACTGCAGAATCCTAAGACCTAAAATGGGAGTAACAAGGAAAGGGCTGAGGAAGTTGATCTTCTCCTCCCCAGGTGCTTGAGAAATGCTTGCTGAAAGCCTGGCCCACTTTTTCATTCACGCCTCAAAAGCATGGGTGATAACCACAGTCTCTATTGCTTCATGGCTGACTTCCTCCTTATCTCCTTGCAAAACAGCCTCCCTTTCAGCACTTCAGTCTGACTTGTGGTGTTTGCCCCCCTCACCCTGCTGCCCTTGGGGCCCCCATTTCCTTTCCATACTGTTTGAGTGCCTCTCAAGAGGGAGGGAGCACACCAGAACTGTCTGTGAGCTCTGCCAGTCTTTAGCTCAGAATCTCCCAAGTAGGTTGGTCATGACCACCGCATAGGAAAATCATGTGGTAAGCTGTTAAAGACCAGCGCCCAGGTCCCCACACACAGCATGCCACTGTAGCTGGGCATTTCCCAGAATTTGCCTTTTGGTTAGGGTGGACCATGGGAGGGGCTTGGGGAAAGTGAAATAATACCCTTTAATCTCAGCACTCAGGAGAAAGAGACAGGCAGTTCTACGTGAGTTCCAGGCCAGCTTGGTCTACAGAGCCTGTTCCAGGACAGGCTCCAAAGGAGAAACCCTGTCTCAAAAAACCAAAAGATATGCCAGGCGTTGGTAGCACACACCTTTAATCTCAGCACTCGGGAGGCAGAGGTAGGCGGATCTCTGTGAGTTCGAGACCAGCCTGGTCTACAGAGCGAGTTCCAGGACAGCTTCCAAAACAATACAGAGAAACCTTGTCTTGGAAAAAACAAAGATAAATAAGTAAAAATAACAAAGAAAAAACATAACAAAGATTCTCATACATAGACATTTACCAGCTGACTCATCTTGGCACAGCCTAGCAACCAACTCTGTGCCTGTCCCAGCTCCCTTCAGCCTAGGCTGAAGAAGAAGGGTCCAGCCTGTGCAGAGTGCCCACAGCACTAAGGTCAGAGGCAACACCTGAGAGGAGGCTCCCAACACTGCTATAAACCCTAGCTGGTCCTTATTGCCTGGATCCACACCGCACTTTGCATGCAGCTTTCCTCCTTGTGGACAACGCCAAGAGTCAGGGTCCCACACAAAGAGAGATTTGCAGAGACTATGTGGCTACAATGGAATAGGGTCAGATCCCTGTAACATATGCACACTCAGATATGCTTGCATGTTCATCTGCAGGTGTACGTATAAGCATGTGCTGGTGGAGCCCGGAGGTTAGCCCTGAGCGACAATCCTCAGGCATCACCCGCCTTCTTTCATTTTGATGCAAGGTTTCTCATTGACCTGGAATCTACCGATTATGCCAGGGTGGTGGGCAGCAAGGCCCCAGGGACTCACCTGTCTCTGCCTGCCAGCTCGGGATTAAATGAGAGAGCTAACACGCCCAACTTGTTTTGTTTTGTAAGATAGGCTCTTACCATGTAGCTCTGGCTTGCCTCAAACTCAAAAGAGATTCTGCCGGTTTCTGCCTCCTGAGTCCAGGGATTAAAGGCATATGTCACCACACACGCCGGGCTTTAAACACGGGTTCCGGAGGCAGGGTGGAGGGTATCACACCCAGGTCCTCAGGCTTGCCTGGTAAGCACTTTGCCAGCTGCGCCGTCCTCTCCTCAGCCCAGGATCTCGTCATAGACAAGCACCCAACTGAAACCTAACTGCTGGAAGTCCACATGACCTCGTCAGCAGAGGTGAGGCCCGCACTCTAAGGGTCCAGCATGATCTACCCCTGCGTGAAATGCCCCGCACCTCACCTCACTGTGTCTCCTTGCTAGAGTAAGCCAGGGAAGTCACGCCCTGCCCCATCCTGTGTATCTTCTCTCCTGTATATCCCTTTTCCTTCCCAGAGACCCAGCCCCTGACCATCACGAATCGCTGCCCTCCTGCTTCCAGTCTTTCACCCTCTGTTTTACCCCACCTGCAGCTGGAAAAGCATAACACTTCTCTGTGATCATAGCTTCCAGCCCTCTGTCTCCTAGGCTGGTAGTCAAAGTCCACCCCACCCCCCGGAGTCTGACTTCCCACAGGGCCATCCTAACCTTCCACCCACCCCCACCCCACCCTACCCCATCCCACTCCCACCCCCACGGCCCCAGCGTCAGTCCCATCCTTTAGTCCTTCCTGAACCTCCCTCCGGCAGACCACAGAAGGAAGCAGCAGTCACACAGTCAACAGGGACCGGTCCTTCCCTGGCCTACCTGGACTCCCCCTAATTCCCTCAGGTTAGCACCCTTCCTAGGAGACCCATGCCAACTCTTGTCCCATCCCTTCTAAATCCCACCTCTATGCTCTCCCTGGTAGAGCGCTTGCCTAGTATGAATGGAACTCTGGGTTCAGTTCCCAGCTCTGAATAAACCTGAACATGTGGAACAGATCTGTAATCTAAGTACTTGGGAGGTAGAGACAGGAGCTTCACGAATTCAAGGACATCCACAGCTGTGTATGGAGTCCAAGGGCAGTCTGGGCTACCAGAGATCTTCTCAAAAAAATCTGTTTCTTGCATCTTTCTTATTTATTTATTTATTTATTGCTTTTTTTTTTCAAGACAGGGTTTCTTTGTGTACCAGGCCTAGCTATCCTGGAACTCACTCTGTAGACCACGCTGGCTTCAAATGTACAGAGATCCGCCTATCTGTGTCTCTGAGTGCTGGGATTAAAGGCGTGCCCAGCATGCTTCCTGCCTCTTACTACTAAGGATTTGTTTATGTGTCTGTGTGTGTGACTGTGTGTGCATGTATGTGACTGTGTATGCATGTGTGTGACTGTGTGTGCATGTGTGTGCATGAAGGCATGTCAGCCAGAAAAGAGTGTCAGGTGTCCCTCTCTAGCACGTTCTGTCTTTTAAGGCAGGGCCTCTCCCTGAACCTGGGACTCACATCTTCTCAGCTACGACAGAAGCCAGAAAGCCCCAGAGATCCTGTCTCTGCCTCCCTCAGGGCTGGAGTTATAGGCATGCAACAGAAACCCAGATGGTTACGTGGGTGACGAGATCCAAACTTTGGTCCTTGTGATCCTGGAGCAGGCACTCTCACCCACTGAGCAACCTCTCCATCTCTGCCTCGTACTTCTAATATGAGCGCTAATTCTAATTTATGTTCTCATAATTCAGGAGAGGGAAGTAGAGTGAAGCAGTAACTTCTCTGAAGTTCTCCCTCTCCTTCCTCTGCAAGTCCAGTGTTGCCTCCATGAACCTACTCCAAGAGCTAAAGGAGGAAGACTATTCGCCAGTCCTCTGCTCGAAATCAGCCTAAACCAGAGGGCATCTCACCTCCTCTCCTCCCCAGTGAACGCCTGCTCTGTGATACCTAATAAGGCCTTCTCCATTGCCAGGACTCTGCAATGCTATGTAAAATGGTTTTGAAATTTCCTTGCTGAACACAGAGGATTTCCTTATTCTAAGGGTCTTCTGTTAGCCAGGTGGTGGAGGTGGCAGTGGCAGCTGCTCATGCCTTTAATCCCAGCACTCAGGAGGCAGAAGCAGGCAGATCTCTGAGTTCAAGGCTAGCCTGGTCCACAGAGTGAGTAGACCAGGACAGCCAGGGCTACACAGAGAAACCCCGACTCTAGATGGATAGATGGATGGATAGATAGATAGATAGATAGACAGACAGATGATTCTTCTCTTTGCATGTTGGACAGAAGGCCCTATGGTCAGTATGTCTGCACTCAAGGCTCTCTTCCTGAAGATTCCAAGGGACTGACAAAGGGACCAAGACACAAGAGGACACCCGTATCCCAGGCTTCTTCGATAAGTGCCACTGTGATGCTCATGTGAAATATGAGCTAAGCGTTTTGCTTGACTGCTTCACTTTGCCATTTAGCTGCTCACTCACGCCAACGCTTCTGTTCAGATGCTCCCTCCAGAGCCCACCACAGGAGCACTCACCCATATTTCTCCGCGAGTTCCCTGGCCTCCTCCTCTTTCACTGCCCTCTGGTCTTCCAGGTCACTCTTATTTCCACACAGCACTATATCTGGGTTTTCACAGTACGCATGCATTTGTAGCTGACCTACGATACAGGGAAGTTTGTTATACACAGTCGTGATGTAAATGCGGGATCAATAGAAAACATTTGCAAAAGTGCTTCTGAAAACCACAGATGCATATACAGAGGCAAAGAGCTGATAGAATATTTCAAAGCATCAACAATATTTTTTAAAAACAGAATGGATTATTATTCCTGTCCTCAACGCACACTCTACTATGTTTATATCAGAGAGATATGGAAGAATACGATAACCCTTGGAAGAGAGAGGGACAGAGGGAGGGAGGGGAGAGGGAGGGAGGGGGAGAGAGGGAGGGAGAGAATGCTCATACAGGTCATAAAATACCTGTCTTTTGAATAAGAGACATCGGAATGCTCAGCGTGAAACGGGATGTCTGTGCCACATCACTCTCCTCAAAGCTTAGGGGTGCGTGTGGAAGGGAAGTTGGAAAGATAGTAAGAGCCAGAGGCGACAGATGACTTGGATAAAACAGTATTTCCCAGACTCGGTAGGGCAGATGTACATGTGAACTCAAAGTGTGGCAGCATGCACAAGACCTGCACAGGCTCCGGCTAGTAAAAATCCCACCATAAAGGAGGGCAGGGGGCTGAGGTCCCACTCCTAGACAGAAAAGTGTTGGCATTTGTTTGCTGATGGGAGACCGAGAGTCTGTTTGTTTCAGTGGAGTGACACCTGTATATTGACTACCCTCCAGGGCAGGCCCACACCCAGAATCAGTCAGCCAATAAACTGTTTATTTTTTGAGGGAGGTCTGGGAGGGGGAAGGAAAGGAGGGAGGGAGACTATGAAGTTAGATGGGTAGGAAGGAGATGGAGAGGGGATAAATATAAGCAAAAGACACTACATGAAATCAGCAAAGGACAAATGGAAAACACTATTTATAAACAGAAGAGGCTTCAAGAGAAAATTGGAAGAATTCTTTTAAAGTCTTATTTTTATTTTATGTGAAAGTGTTTGTAAGTATGTATGTGCACTATAAGCACACAGATCCCTGTAGAGGCCAGAAGAGGGTGCCAGACCCCCCCCCCAGAACTGGTGTTGCAAATGGTTGTGAGCCAACACATGGGTACTGGGAATCAGTCTGGGTCCTCTGCAACAGCAGTCAGGAATCTCAACCACTGAGTCATTTCCCAGCTCTGTGTGTGTTGCTAATCTTTTGTTTTGTATTCATAAATATTTATAATTGTTATATCTTCTTTTAGTTTTGTGGGGTGGGGCTAATCTTTTTGTTTTCTTTTCTTTTGTTTTTGTTTTCTTGTTTGTTTTTCAAGACAGGGTTTCTCTGTATTGTTTTGGAGGCTATACTGGAATTCGCTCTGAAGACCAGGCTGGCCTCGAACTCACAGAGATCCTCCTGCCTCTGCCTCTCCAGTGCCAGGGTTAAAGGAGTGCGCTACCACTGTGTGGCCATGTGTACTACTAATCTTAAACCCTCTTTGTCGTTTATTGCATTTTCTTTCAACAGTAGTAATATTTGTAAAGAATTGTCTTCTTAAGACATCCTGTATCCCAAGGCTGGCTTCAGCTCACTGTATAGCCAGGGATGCACTCAATGCTCCCATCTCCTGAGTGCTAGAATTACAGGCATGCAGTACATGACAGTTTATGGGGTATCATGCTCTATAACTTTTATATCCTTTCACATAAAGTCCTGTAGCCAGGCTTGATTATGAAGACAAGAGAGGGGCTGGAAAGGTGGCTCAGTGATGAAGAGCACATATTGCTCTTCCAGAGGACCTGGGTTCTATTCCCACCACTCATTCCAGGGGGTTCATCATCCCCAGCTACACTGGCCTCCCAGGGCACCTGCGCTCATATGCACCTATCCACGCAGATGCCAGATTTTTTTGGGGGGGGCTTTGGCTTTTCGAGACAGGGTTTCTCTGTGGTCTGGAACTCACAGAGATTCACCTGCCTCTGCCTCCGGAGTGCTGGGATTACAGGCATGTGCCACCACTGTCCAGCTAGATGTCAGATTTTTAAGGTCATAAAAATGAAGTCTTTAAAACAGAAAGAACAAGAGCTCCAGGGTGCAAAGCAGCTCCATCTTCCAAAGAAGAAAAATAAACCCAACTTCTCTCTCCTGACACTCCAGAACAAAACTGGAGCAGCTGAACTTTTACAATCAGTGGTCTTGGGAGTGCATGACCTAGTGTGTGTTTTGTCACTATCAGCTAGGAGTGTTGACACTTCAGTTCCTCCTCAAAGTCAGGTCACACATATCTTATCAAGAGAAGTGAAGTAGAGGGAAGTTTCCCTGAGCATTAGCACAGGCCTATATTTCAGGACATGGTCTTTTGCCTTCAGGGGCCAATTTAGATCACAAGACCTGCCCAGGCAAGATCAAACAGTGCCCTGTTTCCTGCAAAAGTCAGGCTTCTTCTACCCTTAGGGTGTTAATGTGCAGTTCCCACACTTTAATGCCCAGACACAACTTTCTTCAAGATTTGCTCCATTGTCTCCTGACTGGTTTCTCCTGTGCTCTTTTATAGGGAAAAGGGACAGCTGAAGAAACACACCCTGAGGAGAGTCAAAAGAAACACTTTGGTCCTGCAACCGGAACCAAAGAAATGTACCCTGACTCTGAAACTAGTGCCAAAGAAACACACTTTGTCTCTAGAATCAGAGCCAGTGAAAGAAATGCACCCTGGCCCTAAAATTATAACCAAAAGGCTAAAAAGGACCAGTGAAAGAAACAAACTTTGGTCCTGAAATCAAAGCCAAATCTGAACCTGAATGAACCTGTGCAGAAAACCAACCAATCCCTGAGATCTAACCAATCTGAGCTCAGGGATTGAAATCTGACCAATTCCCACCCTGGAAATGTCCCTGGAAAAACTCTGCCCCTAAGAAGCCCTATATAAACCCAGTGCCTGTTCAGCTTGTGGCTGTTGAGCTGTCCAGCTGTCCTCTGCCACCCTGGCAGACAGCACATGAATTCTTCCCTCCCAATAAATCTCTTGAATGAGGTTTGGGTAAGACCTTCCTTCGCCAGAATGGAGCTGGAGTGGAGGAGAGAAGTTAGCAACTTTTCACTGGAGTCAGAGCACAGAGGAGTAGAGCAGAGCTCTAACACTTTCACAGGGGAAACCTTCCCCTAACTAAGCAGAGTTGTTACACTACACTGGTAGTGGGTCTTTGCTGGAGAGGCCCTCCCTGCTGGAGCAGAGCTATTACACTAGGGAAGCCTTTCCTTGGAGCACGGCTGTAAGCTGCTATGTTTACTGTGATCTGTGGTATTCCTTGGCTCCCGAGGGCCAGAATACCTTTCCATCTTGCCAGATAGTGGTAACACATGCCTTTAATCCCAGAACTCAGGAGGCAGAGTGATCTCTGTGAGATTGAGACAGGCCTGGTCTACAAGAGCTAGTTCCAGGACAGGCTCCAACGCCACAGAGAAACCCTGTCTTGAAAACAAAACAAAACAAAACAAACAAACAAACAAAAACCCTTTCCATTCGAGCTGTAGCACTCAGTATTCTGTGGTTCCGAGTGTCAGAATTCCTGTCTATCTGATCCAATCCATTGCAATGCTTACACTCTTAGCACCTTCAGTGTCCATTACCATGGTTACGAGCATCTCCTAGTGTTGAAGCATGGCCCTGTTGCTCTGTTGCTGACTGTGCCCCATCTCCCTGGAAGTTACCTGACCACCATAGCTTCCTCACATATAAATGATCACAACAGTACTTACTTCCCAGAGTCAAAGGGAAGGTTAACTGATTCACTGACTCTCTGGGTAAGGTGTGTGAGCTAGCAGTCTCAGCATTCTGAGAACTTACTGGAAATGCAAACTCTAGGTCGTACCCAACATCAACTGACTAGGGACATGGATGTGGAGGGACTACCCTCCAAGAGACTCAGCTGCATATGTACACTCAGTTCACAAACCAAACCAAAGCACTTCTAAGACTCTGTAACAGTTCACAGTGTCAATGTCTATGCTGATGAGTCTCAGAGATGTTATTGCTCTCTGTCTCTCTCCCTCCCTCCCTCCCTCCCTCTCTGTCTCTCTCTGTCTCTCTCACACACACACACACACACACAGAGAGAGAGAGAGAGAGAGAGAGAGAGAGAGAGAGAGAGAGAGAGAGAGAGAGAGAGAGAGAGAGAGAGATGGGCTTCCATACAGGGTTTCTTTATGTAGCCCTATGTAGCCCTGGCTGTCCTGGAACTAGCTCTATAGATCACGCTCACTTTGAACTCACAGAGATCCTCCTGCCTCTGCCTCCCAAGTGCTGGGATTAAAGGCGTGTGCCACAACACCCAGCTGATGTTATTTTTGCTTTCATCTCTAAATTTTTATATGAACATTACAAAGTAATGGGTAATTAAGTAAATTAATCAGTTATCTGAAAATTTTCCCTAAAGAAGAAAATACATGAACACCTTCAACCTGAGGTGAGATATGGTAAAGATTGGTTATGAGGTAAAACAATTAAATAAAATAGCAGTCAACAATAACAGGGGAAATATTCCAGCTAAGATGATCATGGAATTTTTCATAGAAGTTCTTTCTTTCCAGGTTTTTAAAAAGTAAACATAACTTGGAGCTGAAACAATGGTTTAGTGTTAAAAGCACTGGCTGCTTTTCCAGAGGACCCAGGTTCTAGTCCCAGCACCCACATAGTGGCTCACAGCTGTCTGTAATTCCAATCCCAGAGGATCCGATGCCCTCCTCTGGCCCCCACAAACACGAGTGCAGAGACAGGCAAATAAAACACTCACAAGCATATAAATAAGTAAAATAAACAGCTGTAACTGGCCAGAAAGAAGGGAGAATAGAAGTCTACACAACAGAGAAAGACAAAGGGCAAAAGTGAAGAGGGAAATGCATGAGTTTGAAGGCTTAGACTACCTAGAAGTTGTGTTAGGAATTGCCCTGGCCCAGGATGAGGAATGATTCTAGACATGCCTGCTCAGGCCTTAACACCAGAAAGACGGGTGGTGACCCATCTCCAATCATGTGGGCCCAGAGGACTCAGCTCTGTTCATGCTCTTACACAGGACTGGCTCTTCTCACGCCTCCTGAGGGGATGTGGAAGGATCCCCAGCAGAGAGAAGATAGCTCCAGGGGAGCAAAGGAGAGATGCAGAGAATGCCAGTCATCTGAGACCCTAAGCTAAAGGGCCTTGGCCCTGAGTGTTTTCAGCAAGACATAACACGATGTCCACAAGGGGCAGTGCAGAGCAGGTCCCGGAAAAGGAGCAGAGCAGGCCCTGGGAAACTTACTTATCCAGTTTCGGACATTGAGGAAACTTTGCTCGTTCGTCAGGTCAAACAGTAGCAGGAAACCCATAGCATCCCTGAAGAACGCAGTGGTCAAGCTACGAAACCTAGAGCACAAAAACAGATGGTCACTATGTCATAGCCAAACTCCTGAAATATAAAGTGCCAACGACACCCACCGCCTTCTCCAAACATTCATCAATAATTCTCATGATGCGTTCCCAAATAGGTGTTTACCACTCCCATGAGTTTAATGCGAACAGAATGTGTTATTGAAAACTGAGCCCTATGAATGGAAAGCTGTCTTGCAACCTTGATAACCAGGAAATGATTGGACAACCTTGCTTCACTGGGCCAAAAGCAACAGTGCTGGGCATGTGTGTTTTCCTCCTGGGAAGGTTTCGTGACACTATGGGCTCCTTGGTCTCTCTTCAGGCTCAGTAGAAGTCCCTTCTCTGTGACAGCCATTTCATTACCTCTAAGGTGGGAACAGCGTTGAGGCAGACTCAGCTGTTTCCTGGCATTACCTCCAGAGGCTTTACCTGCTGTCCCTTCTCTTCCTCTCACGGATTCCTCTCACTTTGCCTAAACACAGTCTAACTGGCAGGCGGCTCCACAGAAGGATAGGGTATGCATGAACCAACTGTTCAAAAACAGTAGGTTTTCCTCAATTAATTATTATTCACTGTTCTTATGAAAAGTCTTCATTGCTTACAGATGGAAACCTAAAGCTACAGATGGTATGACATGACATCTAAAGTTTGCTCTCCAAGTAATACCGGAGGGAGACAAGGAGAAGTATCAAGAGGATATATGAATTACGATTGGCCACAACATGACCATTATTGAAACTGGGTGGAGTGACACAGATTCAACTCAATCTCCTCTTCACGTTTGTACGCACTCGCAGATTTAGAGGTGGCTCAGCATTCAACTGCTTCCTACACGAGCTTGAGAAACAGAGTTTGGGTCCCCAGGACCCACATAAATGTCAGGTGGTCACAGCAGACCACCTGCAGCTCTGGCTCACAGAAGGCAGAGGCGGGGTTCTCAAAACAAGCTGCAGCCCAGCTATGCCTGTGAGCCCTGGGTTCGGGTGAGAGACCCCGCCTCAACCACTAAGGGAGAGAGCAATCAAAGAAGAGTCCTGATGTCAACCTTTGGACCCACATCCCACAAGTGCCCACATACCAAGGAGAACACACACACACACACACACACACACACACACACACACACACACACACGAGGAAAAAAATCCCTCAAGGTGACTGAGACCTGGCTGTAGCTGACTGAAAGCAGCCTTGCACCAAGATGTCACATGATTTATCTTAGTTAAGTGACCTGTGACCAGATTAATTCATTCCAACCAGATGTTCCACCAGGCTTCAGCATTAGATAAGAACAAAGCAAGCAGCCTTAGGTCTCCCTTACAGGTGAGCAGACAGCAAAAGGCAATGGGGGAAAGACTAAAATGGGAGAAAAAAAGGATCTCGGGAAAGAAGGTTTAATTTTAAGGAGATTCACATCTCCTTTGATCTTGGAGAAAATATGCCGGTCACTGTCACCTGAGGCTGGCAACAGACTGATCTGGCAGCTCGTCTCACCAGGTGAGCCAACTGGTTGCCTTTGCCTGCCAGGGTCAGTGTGGAGAGAGCCCTGAGGAGGACATACCTCTCCTGGCCCGCCGTGTCCCATAACTGCAGGTGGATTCTCTGGCCTCGGCCCACAGCTCCATCTGGCCCATTAGCTCTGTACACCTAAAACATCAAAGCAAAGAGAAACCAAGGGAGATTCTGAGATGGGTGGGTTCTTCTTGACCTTCTGTTCAGCACAAAACCCCACAGCATCTCCACTTCTCAAGAGAACTGAGTACCTAATGCAACCAGGTTTGTACTTTGTTGCAATAACTGCACTTGGGTAGTGATGCTTCCTACTAGGACATCTGTGCCTAGCTGAGGATGCAGCTAGAGTGCTAGGGTCTTGCCCAGCATCCATGAAGCTCTCGGTTCCATTCCCAGCACCACAAAACCAGGCATGGCGGCACATGGCCGCAACCCCAGCACTTGGGAGGTGAGACACAGAAGGATAAAAAGGTCATCCTCAGCTATTTATCAAATTTGCAGTTATACTCCTGAAAGTTAAAATAATCAGCCACTTAAAACTCCAGTTCCAGGGAAATATGATACTTTCTTCTGGCCTCTGTGGGCTCAAGACACACATGTAGTACACACATATATTATCCATACATACAGGCTCTCATACACATACAACAAAGATAAATTAATCCAAAAGATGAAATAAACCAACAAATATGCAAATAAATAGTTGTGATGGTTACATCACACGAATATGCTAGGAAAAACCTACTGAGTTCTACACTTTAAATGGATGGGTTTTAGCTGAGCAGAGGTGGCACACGACTTTAATCCCAGCACTGGGAGGCAGAGGCAGGAGGTTCTCTATGAGTTCAAGGCCAGACTGGTCTACAGAGTAAGTTTCAGGACAGCAAGGCTACATATCGGGGGAAAAAATATGGGTTTTACTTGAGAATTGCACATCAATAAATCTACTTCAGAACAAAAGGAAGAGCTGGAGATGCCTTCAGAGGCAGAGCACTCACCCAGCATACTTGAGGTCCCCAAGTTCAACCCTCAGATCACCATGAACAAAACAAGCCAGGTTATAAGGTGAGAGGTAATTAGAAAAAACAACCACCTACATACATCGTCAGCACTAGCAAGTGACACCAACTCACCAACACATATACACGCTTCCAAAATGTTTGAGACTGCTACTGTGTTATTCAGAATAATGACAAGAAAAAGTCTGTACATGGGGCCAGGGAGCAGGAGCGAGGAAAAGAGGCAGGGAAGCAGGAAGGGAAGGAGGATGGGGAGGACAGAGAGACAGAGATGGAAAGACACAGACGACAGACAGACAGTAGAAAGTCTACAGGGGCCAGTGATGTGACATACACATCTATCACTCTAGACTTAATTACACTGTATAAGGATGGGTGACTCCATGGTGATTCAACCCAGATATAGAAGACTGATGATGCAATGATTCCACCAATGGCCATGAGCACTTCTTAGGACATCCATCTCACTCAGTGAGTCTGGGTGTCTGTAAGATTCTCTGACTGCTGGGTATGATGGCACATACCTGTAACCCTAGCACTTGTGAGTCTGAGGCAGGAGGAGTAAGAGTTCAAGGTCAGCTAAAGACCCTGAAATGATAAAATAAAACAAGATGGGTAGTAGAAAGGACCTATAATAGGCTAAAGGGAATAACTTGTTCTGCCCTAGAAGCTAGGGACCTGCAGCTTCCCTGACAGAATACATGTACTGAAGGCCCTTTGGTTTCACCCTTTCTGGACCTACCAGTGGCAATGTAACTGGGGTTTCCAAGGAACATCATGCATGGAAAGCCATCATCTCTCCTTTGCATTGTAACAGTGTGACCTCCTGCCCTCATCACCCTGCATCAGAAGCCCCTGCACTCCTCTAGTTCTCTTAAATACAAACACCAGTGTACACACACACACACACGAACGCACGCACGCACGCACGCACGCATGCACACTTTCCCACCACCATTCTGCAACACACTACATCACCGGCAGTATCCCACACTTATATCCCATTCTCATACTCCTGGAATGCAGTGTTACGTGTAGAACTACAGGCTTCAGTTAAGAGAGCTGCATTTAAAGATGAGACAATAACAAAAATATAAGGCCCAGCCCAGCCAACAGGAACAGAAGGGGCAGACTTCACGACAAGGGTAGATGCTAATAGAAATGTTTACTTTAGAGCTGAAGGCTAGTGGCTCAGTGGTTAAGAGAATAGCCTGTTCTTGAAGATGACCCAAGTTTGATTTCCAGCACCTACATCAGGTGGCTCACAAACACCTGTGACTCCAGCTCCAGGGGTCCAACACCTCTGGCCTCCATGGATGCACGCACACACACACACACACACACACACACACACACACACACACACAGAGAGAGAGAGAGAGAGAGAGAGAGGAGGAGAGGGGGAGAGGGAGAGAGAACATACTCACAGGGACACACAGGCACATGATTAAAAATAAGTATTTTTAAAAGAAAAAAGTAATATGCACTTTAATGTGTCAAAGGGTTTTATATGAAGTGTCGTGAAGATTCCCAGTTACTTTCCACGAAGTGAACACAACACCCTTTCTTATTTATTTATTTATTTGCTTGCTTGCTTTATAGACTTTGCTGCTTTCAAACTCACAGAGATCTGCTCATCTCTACCTCCAGAGCATTGGGATTAAAGGCATGCACTGCCACACTCAGCCACACTTTCCTCTGTACTCTAATTTTAGGTACCAACCTTTGGCTTCTTAAGTCCTACAAAGCAAACTAAAAGGCCTATTAATTTTTTGAGTCAGATTAGATTCTTATGAAGGGTGTAGAACTTACCACTCTCTTTTCTCTGAAATCAATGCCCACTGTGGTGATGAATTTGGAGTTGAATTTCCCATCTGTATACTGGTAAAGCACACTGGTCTTCCCCACTCCAGAGTCTCCCAAGGCCAAAAACTTGATGAGGTAATCATAATCCCCATCCGACATGATGAAGGACTCTGTGCTTCACCTGTGAGACACAAATAAATGGAGTTAATTAGCAAAGCCCACCAGAAATACTAGAATTAGCAAAGTCCACCAGAAATACTAGAATTAGTGTGCTGGGACGGCTCCGTGGACAGAGTTCAGATACACAAGGCTGATGACCTGAGTTAACCCATGTCAAGGTAGGACAGAGTCAAATCCACAGGGTCGTCTTCTGACTGACACACGCAAGCCATAGCGCGTGTGTGCATACACACACACAGACACACACACACACTAATTTTTTAACGATTTACTTATTTTTATTTTGTGTGCATTGACGTTTTGCCTGCACATAAGTGTGTGTGAGGGCATTGGATCCCCTGGAACAGGAGTTACAAGCACTTGTAAGCTGCCATGTGATGCTGGGAATTGAATTCAGGTCTTCTGGAGCGCAGCAGCGAGTGCTCTTAACTGCTGAGCTATTGTTCCAGCCCACATACTAATTTTTTAATTAAAAAAGAAAATATCAGAGTTTTCCACTATTAAAGTGGAAGTATTTTGTTCTGTAAGTACTTCCATTTGTTTGCTTGCTTTGTTTGGGGGTTTGTCTGTCCGGGATTTTTATTTGCTAATTTTTGAGGCAGGGTCTCAGGTAGCTCAGGTTGTCCTAGACCTCCTGATCTTCTTGCCTCTGCCTCCCAAGTGCCTGGATTAAAGACAGGATGCACCACCATGCCTGGCGCTCATCAAGTGCTTCTATGTGACACCCTGTGTCTAGGGGTCTGTGAGGGAGGGAAATACAGTGTCCACTGTCCCTGAGAACCTAATAACTATTGGATGAGATGCTGACGAAATAGCAAATAAATAACAGCTTAGTGCTTTTTAAAAAAATTTTGTTGGATATTTGCACCACAAGGGTGCAGTGCCCATGGAGGCCAGGAGAGGGCATTGGGTCCCCTGGAATTGAAGTTACAGAGGGTTGTGAGCCACCAGGTTGGTGCTGGGAATTAAACCCAGGTCCTCTACAAGTGCAGTCAGTGCTCTTAACTGTTGAGCCATCTCTCAGCTGAGCAGCTTATTTTAACTTAACATACATGCTGTGGAACTACAGAGAAGAGAACTCCAAGTGACAATGACAGTAAGACGGCTAATTGCAAACATGGTAGACCACATAAAACAAAAACTGGCAACAATAAAAGGGACAGCTGGGTGTGGTAGCGCGTACCTGCAATCCCAGCATTCCAGAAGCAAGGGCAGGAGGATTGCCTATGAGTCTGAGGGCTGACCTGGTCTATACAGTGAGCTCTCAGCCAACCAGGACTATATAGTGAAACTGTCTTAAAAAATAGGACAAAGAGAAAGACATAAATGGGAAAAGGGAAATGTAGGAAGGAGAGAGAATGAAGCAAGGTGCTGCAGGCCTGTAACCCCAGTACGTGCAAGGGGGTGCAGGCCTGTAACCCCAGTATGTGCAAGGGGGTGCAGGACTGTAACCCCAGTATGGGCAAGGGGGTACAGGAATGTAACCCCAGTACGTGCAAGAGGGTGCAGGAGGATCCTGAGTTTGAGGCCAACCTGAGTTGAGATTGTGTTTCAAAGAAAAAATGTGCAGATGGAGACAGATGGGACAAGGAATGAATGGTGACTCCCAGAGCTCAGAGGTCACAGCCCTCTTCTCAGTGCTAGATCCTAGCTGCTCCCTCTTTTCACTTGGGGTTTAAACACTTTGGTTTGTCTTACTCATTTTCATGTTAGGGCACACCTACAATTCCCAGGAGGTGGCTCAGTTCATAAAACACTTAACTGTGCAAGCATGAGGATCTGAGTTCAGATTCCCTGATACCCATATGACAAGCCAGGCACATGTCCTTAACCCAATGACAGAGGTGTAGGGATAGGCAAATACGGCCAGCCAACCTAGCCAATTGGTGAGCTCTGGATTTGGTGGGTACCCTGTCTCTAAAGGTAGAGTGAAGAGGGTTGGAGAGAGATACCTGACACCAACCTCTGGCTTCCACATGCACACGTATACACATGGATGCATGCATGAACACACGTATGTGTGTGTGCGCGCGCGCGCACACACACACACACACACACACACATGCTCGAAACAAGATATGACTAACTCACAAGTCAAATCTGTCTGATGGCTTCTGTATACTTGGTCATTGTTTCCTACTTATTGGTCAGACTTCCTAGCTGCTACACACACTCAGGAAGTGGGTTCCATAGTGGAGTAGAAATCATAACCCCAACGCTAACTCCACCTCCACCTGGGTTTTCTAACAGGAAGTGCTCAAAATTCTTCAAGATCAACTGAAACAACTCATCTTCACCAACCACAGTGGCTTGTCTCCTTTGCTGTGCTATTCATTATCTATTTTACCTCCTCAACAGATGCAAATGCACCATGCCTGTCCAAAGAGAAACATGTCTCATCATGTTGGGGGAATGGGAAGTTAGATACTTTTGATCCCAGCAGGATCAAAGGGAAGCAGAGGTGGGCAGATTTCTGTGAGTTCAAGCCAGCTTGGTCTACACAGAGTTCCAGGCCAGCCAGAACTATACAGTCAGTCAGTAGTCAGTCAGTCTCTCTGTCTCTGTCTCTCTGTCTCTTTCTGTGTCTCTGTCTCTGTCTCTCTCTCTTTCTCTCTCTTTCCCTCTCTTTCTCTCTCTTTCCCTCTCTTTCTCTCTCTCTCTCTCTCTCTCTCTCTCTCTCTCTCTCACACCCACACCCACACCCACTTCTAGGAAAGTCCTGTGCATTCTCATGGCAAATGCTAACAAACTCTCTTGATAATCAGAACAATGACCTTGTGTCCCACTCACATGACACCTCTGGACACCTCTTCCTGCCCATGAGAGGCAGTGTTCCCCATCTGTCTGCACATCAGGCACCTGCCCTCATACTCTCCTGTTTACTGGATACTGGGCTCTAACACTAGGTGCTTCCTGTGGGGCTATTAGCATAGATTCATAGAATTAATAAACCTCAGGCAAGGACCTTCATTCATCTTCAAGTCACCACCTCTCCCGCCCCTGCCTCTACGTGGATGATGGGAATTGAATTCAGGTCCTATGGAAGAGCAGCCAGTGCTCTTATCCACTAAGCCATCTCTCCACGTGGATGATGGGAATTGAATTCAGGTCCTATGGAAGAGCAGCCAGTGCTCTTATCCACTAAGCCATCTCTCCACGTGGATGATGGGAATTGAACTCAGGGCCTCTGGAAGAGCAGCCAGTGCTCTTATCCACTGAGCCATCTCTCCACGTGGATGATGGGAATTGAACTCAGGTCCTCTGGAAGAGCAGCCAGTGCTCTTATCCACTAAGCCATCTCTCCACGTGGATGATGGGAATTGAACTCAGGGCCTCTGGAAGAGCAGCCAGTGCTCTTATCCACTGAGCCATCTCTCCAAGTGGATGATGGGAATTGAACTCAGGGCCTCTGGAAGAGCAGCCAGTGCTCTTATCCACTGAGCCATCTCTCCAAGTGGATGATGGGAATTGAACTCAGGGCCTCTGGAAGAGCAGCCAGTGCTCTTATCCACTGAGCCATCTCTCCACGTGGATGATGGGAATTGAACTCAGGTCCTCTGGAAGAGCAGCCAGTGCTCTTATCCACTGAGCCATCTCTCCACGTGGATGATGGGAATTGAACTCAGGTCCTCTGGAAGAGCAGCCAGTGCTCTTATCCACTAAGCCATCTCTCCACGTGGATGATGGGAATTGAACTCAGGGCCTCTGGAAGAGCAGCCAGTGCTCTTATCCACTGAGCCATCTCTCCAAGTGGATGATGGGAATTGAACTCAGGGCCTCTGGAAGAGCAGCCAGTGCTCTTATCCACTGAGCCATCTCTCCAAGTGGATGATGGGAATTGAACTCAGGTCCTCTGGAAGAGCAGCCAGTGCTCTTATCCACTGAGCCATCTCTCCACGTGGATGATGGGAATTGAACTCAAGACCTCTGGAAGAGCAGCCAGTGCTCTTAACCTCTGAGCCGTCTCCCCAGCCCCAGCTATCTCGCCAGCCCCCAGTCAGATTACTTTTACTGATGATGTCACCCTTTTTTGTTGCTTTGTTTTTCCAGACAGGGTTTCTCTGTATACTCCTAAGTATTCTGGAACTAACTATGTACACCAGACTATCCTCAAATTCATAGATCTGCCCTTCTCTGCCCCCTGGGATTAAAGGCATGTGCTACAACACTGTTTGTGTTTTGTTTGTTTTAGTTTTATTTTATTTTTATTTATTTAGTTTTGGTTTTTGTTTTTGTTTTTTGAGACAGCATTTCTCTGTGTGTAGCTCTGGCTATCCTGGAACTCACTCTGTAGACCAGGCTGGCCTCAAACTCACGGAGTTCCACCTGCCTCTGTGCCACCACTGCTCTACAGAGCAAGTTCCAGGAGAGGCTCCAAAGCCACAGAGAAACCTTGTCTGAGAGAGAGACAGAGACAGAGAGAGAGAGAGAGAGAGAGAGAGAGAGAGAGAGAGAGAGAGATATGATGATGATGATGATGATGATACACCACCTCACATGCCTGCTCTGAGATCCTAATGAGATGCTGTCTGTGGAGTTCCCAGCACAATGCTCAGCCTATACTAAGCCACCAGAAGCTTTGGGCAGGGGTGGGAAGGGAGGGTGTGCTTCTGTAAATTGTAAGAGGTAGACTGGACTTGTCATGCAAATTCAGATCCTCAGAGCCAGCTGGTCAGCCATGAGTTCCATGGCTTGTCTAATCCATGAGTTCCAGAGTCAGAGAGACCCCGTCTCAAAATAAATAAATAAATAAATAAATAAGGTGGAGAGTGATGAAGGAAGACACCTGATGCCAACTCTGGTTTTCACATGTGCACACATGTATTTACACATACAGTTCTGCAAGACTAATTGACTAAATCTCCCTCAATGTAGGCAGTCGGAATGTTGCACATCCACAGCTGTCTTAGCTATTTTTCTATTACTATGATAATCACCATGACCGAAAGACTTGGGGAGGAAAGGGTGTATTTGGATTTACAGCTTACAGTCCTGCATGAA